CTTTTGCTTTCCCGTATTCAACAGGGCATTATTGTAACACGTCTGAATCATATATGGTACCGACAAGTATTTGGTCGGCTTTGATTTCAAAGCGTGGTATATCGTTTCTACTTTACAGGCAATTTTTTGTGGTCCTTTATTGCAGCTTGCTGCTAACATTGCCGCTAACGATTCGCAAGCCCGTGCAGGGTGATGTCAAACCCGACTTTGACGAGGATGCTGGCAATGTGGCGGAGACCAGGTGGCCAGTGAACAGCAGATTCTTAGCGAAAGAAGAGCGAGCGATAGTGCCCAGGTTACTCAGTGCTCTCATTCGACCGACAGATGCGCCGCCATCCCATGTGTTGCCATGTGCTGTTCAATTTCGGGCCCACTTTCGAGCCGAGATGGCGCATGACCGGAACTTGTTCAGGTCAGTTTTCAAGGTTCTCCAAGCTCGTTTTGCTCACGAGGACAGCTGTGGATGCACAACTTCAGGAACCCCTAGCAACACACGGAACTTCACAAAACGCCAACTCCAGCATATCTTTCCACAAGCTTTTGCATCGTGCTTTGACGAGAGGACATCTACACCTATGGGGCGCTGAAGTCTTTGGTCGTGTGCAATCCGTTCAGGCTGGCTAACATACATATCTTCATGCTGGTGTCCTCCGGAAGCTGAATCTAAGGCGTTGAAGGCGTTGAAAACTTTGAAGGCTTTGAAGGCTTATGCGAAGGTTTATTTGAAGGCTTTGAAGGCTTGGTGGGACCGTCGGACAGTGTCGGAAAGTGCAGATGCTTGTGGGGAGTTCACAGGGCGTTAGCTGCTTTGGGCCGGTGCGGTTCAGCTGAGGCCAGTTCCCTGCTTAGAAGATCCGACCATCTTGCCCTTCTACAAGGCTTTCAGCGGGTCTGCGGGCCAGTACAGCGTGTTTCGGGCCGCAACTTTTTTTTTTCGCATGTCTCCAGGCTTGCCTGCGTGTCGATGAGCTTGAAGGCCCAGGGCTTGCGTTATGTCTGGGCACAACTTATATATTGTGATGGCAAAAACATCCTTGTAAGTTAGCGAGGACACGCAATAGGCGGTCAGTCTCCAAGTCTGGAGATTGATTCATCAAAAATTAAATCGAAAACCAACGTTACCAGGAGAGAGGTGGAAAGACATACCGGAGTTTTATGGAATCTGCATTAGATGATTGAGCTGCGCCAAGGGGTCCAGCTTAACTTTGTGTTGGAAGAGCCGAAGAGGTTCTGGCACGTTCAACTCCGAAGAGCCACACATTTGGGCAGCCTGCCGTGACGTGCAGCGCTCAGGCCATTTGTGTGCGCCAGTGGAAGAAATGTTTCATGTTGCAGTGGCCGACTCTGTCTAGCTGCCTTTGCTTTGTCGCATCTCCGCATTCAAGGCATGGGGGTACATCCGCCGAACTGGGCCAGAAGCTCAGGTTTATGTGGCACAAATGCTCGTCATGCACACAAGCTCTGAAGCTCTGCCTAGGCACATCGTTCGGTATTGAGCAGTGCACGCGAAAAAAAGGAGGCCATGTGAAGGCTGAGTTCGGGTCTGCACATTTGCAGCCAAGGCGGAGTGTGTCCTTTGTGATTCAGGCAGAAGCTCCTCACTGGGAATGGGTAGCTTCAAATCAATGCTTCTTATCAATGCTTGCTTTTTGGGGGGGGACGGTTCTGTGAAGTGGTTCTGTGAAGTGCTCACAGGGCGAAAGTGGCGCCGGAAAGACGGAGACAGCCAAGGCGCATCCAGATTGCCTACTCACGATGCATTGAGAATCGCCCCTCTTCACAAGCCCTGTGCAGCACGTGATGCTGTACTTTTCGTCGCCGACGCGGCAGCCCCTTGGTCACAGAAGGCTGAGGGACTTCGTTATCTGTTATCCATCGCATGCGTTGGCATTGAATTGTGTCTCGCTGCTCGGACCTTCCCAAGCTTTCCTTGAACCCTTAACACTGCGTAAACGGCTTCAACTAGACGTGGAGCTGCATCATGAGCTCAGGTCCAGCCCCAGGCGCGCATGCGGGACATCTCGGGACATACCACGAGCATCCCAGTGGTGCGAGGGATGCATTGCTCCGACCCCGCGCAATAGTGCTGAATTTGAGAGCTGGAGGGAAGCCCTGAGCCGTAAACCCTAAACCCCAAACCAAATACTGTGGGCCTTAAATCCTACCCGAAACCCGAAACCTTAAACCCTAAACCCCAACCACTAACCCCAAACCCCTATAGTACGCTTAAACTTGACCTAAACCTGAAACCCTAAACCCTAAACCCTAAACCCTAAACCCTAAACCCTAAACCCTAAACCCTAAACCCTAAACCCTAAACCCTAAACCCTAAACCATAAAACCTAAACCCTAAACCCTAAACCCTAAACCCTAAACCCTAAACCCTAAACCCTAAACCCTAAACCCTAAACCCTAAACCCTAAACCCTAAACCCTAAACCCTAAACCTTTAAACCCTAAACCTTTAAACCCTAAACCCTAAACCCTAAGCCAGCGGTTCCATGTCAAAGCCGCTCAGAAACCGGCCAGCGTACCCCAGAAGCCGGGCAGCTTTGTGGAGGCAAGGGCGGGCCCGCTCCAGCTCCGTCAGCCTACAAAGCGGCAGGCGCGACTTCCAGCTCGGGTTTACGGTGGCTTAGGGTGGTTTAGGGTGCTTGAGGGTGGTTTAGGGTGGTTTAGGGTGGGTTTAGGGTGGTTTAGCGTTGGCTTAGGGTTGAGGGTGGCTTGGAGCGCTTTGGGGTGGTTTGGGGTGGTTTAGGGTGGTTTAGTGGGGTGGCTTAGGGTGGTTCCGGGTGATTTAGGGTTTGGGGTGATTTGGTGTATATTTTTTTAGGGTTGAGAACGCTCCCCGTTTCCGGACGCCAGGTTGGATGCAAATGCAAGCCTCGGCTTGCAAGACGGTGAGAAGGACCCCCCATTCGCGATTACCATCATGTTGCCTGTTCAGCTGAAGGTTGTACCACTCGCAACTGGCTAGGGCCCGCCGTTTTTGAGCTTAGTCCGCATGTTGCCACGTGCGAGGCTGGCATCCACCAGATCATGATGAGTGCGAATCCAGTGACAGAGGCTGTCCACCGGGCCTGGGTGCTTGAGTTCTGGTAGGCAAAGAAGTGTGGATAGCCGGTGACATCTCCAGTACATGCGTCAGTCTGCCCCCCCCTGCCCGGCCCCCGAACTAAGAAGAATGTTTTCGGGTTGTTACCCTTAACCTCGTCGATTTGAGGGTCCCGCCTTGGGTCTTGGGATAAGGGGGCTCGGGAGTTCAGGGTGGTTTTTAGGCATCGGGGGCGACTTGAGGTTTATGGGTTTAGGGTTTCAGGGGCGTAGCAAGCTTCATGAAAGCCAGACCTTGAAATGGCTGAATCTTTCCGTAAGCCTGCACGTCCCTAAATCTCAACCCAAGCTCAACTCCCAGACTACCCTGAGCCCTGAGCCCTAAATTCCCTAAATCTCTTCATTTCTGAGCTCCCACAAGCTGTTTTTCCTTCCGAGGCTTTGGGCAATGCCCGAACTTTGCGGAATGACAACTCTTCGAGGCTTAGGGCTTTTGCTTTAGGGGTGCAGTGCTCGAGGTCATGCGCTGCCTGTTGCTCCTCCGGCGCTTGGTCCAGTACTGTTGCCGAGTCATTGCCGCTGCTACTGCGGGTGCCTTTGCCTACTCCAGCCCTTGTGCTCGTGCCGCTGCCACTTCCCGAGCTGCCTGTCGCAGCGCTGGTTCCTGTGCTGCTGCCTGTTCCTGACACAGTTCCGCCCCCGTTCCTCCAGCGTTTGTTCCTGTGCTGCTCTCGTTCCTGATCAGCGCCGCAGCTGCCTGGCCCTGATTCACGCCAATGTTGGGTTTCGGGCCAGGGTTTTGTAATGTTCGAAACCCCGTATCCTGGCTTGCTAAAAGCTTTTGCGCAATCCGCACAGTCCTGTTGGCATGGCTCTCCTCTTAGGAAACCTGCTCTTTCGCCTTCCAGGTTCGGACGCTTCGTGAAGTTGTTTCTCAATGCCCCGGCCCCAGTTGTCCCAGTTTGGCTTTCAGGAAGTGGCCTGAAAGCCAACAAGTCGGTGGGGGGGGAGAATGGGGAGCAGGGGGTGCTCGGAAGCTCCGAAGCTCCCATCCTGAGAATGCACTTAAGCCGGAGTGACACTGAGACGGCTGGCGAGATTGAGAGCAGCGAGATGTCCATCTACTCCCTGGAGAAGTCCACCTGCCCTCATTTTGGGTAGCTCTGCGAGCGCGAGGACGCAGGTTTGCTAGGGGAGTGTGCGGGTCGAAGGCCTTGATCTTGGGTGCTGGGGATGTAGTTTACGTGCCAGAATGTTTGGGGGGCATCCCCTCCCAAATGCCTCGATCTTACAATCGCCAAGGCGTGCTTCTTGATTCCGACGTTCTGGTCCCTCGCCTTCGTGGCTCAAGCTTGGGGCCCATGTATTGCGTTAGGGCAATGGCAACCTGGCAACACGGGCGGGGGTTGCTGACCATCGCAGGCAGACAAAGCCCAAAGCAGCATGAGAAGCCAGTACAGCTGAAAGCCAGTCGACTGCTGGCCCCGAGCCAGCTTCGACCTCAACCCCGACCCTGATCCCGAGCAGTCTTACTTCCTAGACTTCCAAAACCCCAACACTTCTCGACATTTCCGAGACCGAGACTTGTCCAGACATTTCCTGACACCCCTTTTGCCCGACGAGAGCGATCGTCGCCTTGCCAGGGCCTTGGGGGGGCTTTCTGTTAGAGTCTAAGAATCCAGCTAAGCGAGGCATGGTAGATCAGGGGTTGAGGATGGTTTAGGGTCCGGCAGAGAGAGAGGAGAAAGAGGAGAAGAGGAGAGACGGCTCCTTCTTCGCCTGGAGCTCCTTTGAGCCCTCGAAGCGCTTGGTGTCCCCTCCTCAGCCATGGGTTTGAGCCACATGCCGGCCTGCGAGAGCGTGGCTCGCCCCGAGCCCGAGATGGCGAACCCGAAGGGATCCTTTGCGGTCAAGGCCAAACGGGAGAGGGGGTAGATTGATGTAGATTGTGCAGAATGGGCAAACATGGGGTAGACTCCGTAAAGTGGAAGTGGTGGGACGTGGCTGAGCCCATCTCAGGACCTGAAGAAGCCAGCATCCAAACCACGGATCGACTGCATTGATGGATGCCGCTTTGCCCTGGTTCTGCCAATCATCATTGGGCACTTCATCCGCTTCGGAACCTCCAACAAGTGGCTTCTCAAACTTCTGACCCAGGATGCCTTCAACTGTAAATCGCCCAGCTCTCCATGGCTTTGCTGTGCTTTTTGGTGCAAATGCCCTTTTGGCTAGTTTTCCTGTGCTTTTGTGGCAACCTTTGGGGGGAGTCTCTTATGCTCCGCCTTGTCCAACTCCAGGAGAACGTCCTGGTGGGCGGCTTCTTCAGCATCTCCGGTTATGTGATGGCCTACGTAGCCACAAACGTGGGTGAGCGAAGCGCCAATATGCAGAAGTTGAAGCAGCCGGAGCTCTTCTTCTGGCAGAAGGCAGCTCGGCAATGTTTTGAGCAGTGTTGTGGGCACTAGGTAAACCTTGGTTCATGTGGCAAGGTGATGGGCTACTATCCTCTGCACTTCGTGGTCTCATCAGCCTTTGCGCCAATGTTCATCTTGATCGACAGGCCAGGGCTGAAGCTTCGCAATTTCAGGAGTCGAGGTAGGAGTTTAGCCGGTTTAGCCGGTTGGCCTCGACTCCCAAGGGAATCCAAGGGATCTACAAAGACCTACATGTGCCAGCCGTTTTTGTGGGTCTCAATGCCTCTTGAGATGTTGCTTTCGCAGGTGGATGAAGAACTCTTGGAAGACGACGTCGCTGCATGCCTTCTTCAACTACTTCCTGTTGCAGGCAGGGTCAAAGCCCGAAACATCCCGACACCCGTACTTTTGAACTTTGAGCCACCAAGACCAAACAGTGCCAAAGCCCTGGCAGACTTGCTCCTTGATTCGGGGTGTACCGTATCCGCGTACCTCAGTCTCTAGCAGCCAAAGTAATCAGATCTCTCCATGTTCGCGGTTGTGGAGCCTTGAACCCTCGAAATCCCAAAGCCGTATTTCCAAGCTGCCAGGACTTAGCTGACAACACCCCCCCCACCCAACCCCCCGGGTCCGAAATGCCCTGAACGCCTGGAGGCCGAATCCCCTTCTGCACAGATATTCAAAACATCAAGCCGTAGACCCTGAACTCAGTCACACTCAAGAGAAGCATAGCTCTAATGTGTAGATCATTTTGACCGTGCAGCCCTTGCGGCGGGGGGGGGGGGCTCGAGGGACCTTGAGGCCTTCACCCCCTGAACCCTCGAACCCTGAACCGTTCTAAAACTCAGAAACCCTGAGCCCCGACAACCCTAAGCTACGCCTTTAGCCCGACACAGCCCCAAGAGCCCCCAAGGCCTGGTTCCCCTCCGCCGCGGAGATCTGGAACCCTCCCACTTGGTGGCCTGGGCCAGGAAGTTTAGCGAGGGCTGTAGGCACACATGAAAATTAGCGAGGTTGTCTTACTTTTTGATTACTGGCATCAGGGCTCCTGCCGACGCAGGGATTTCAGAAGGGATCTGATTGTTTGGGCTGTGGGCTTTGAAGATCTGATCCTCAGTATCCCAGGTTCCTTTCGGCTTTGACCTTCGCGAATCTTACGATGCCCACCTTCGTGCTTCCGCAGGCCTCGACGTCTGGGTATCTGTGGTGTGATGCTCAGACCAAACCCAAAGCCTGAAATCCCCCCACCGGAGTCAAGCCCAAACCGAGGGTGACTCTTTTGCAGGTGTCGCGGCTGAGCAAAGATGGGCTCAGCCGGTGCCTCAAGCCGTGGCAGATAGAAGTTCCAACGCCTTGCAGCATTCAGGGTGCAGGGTTTGGAGTGTAGAGTGCACGTAGCATCCTGAACCCCGGCCTATAGCGCCCCGTTTGAAGAGGGCATTTGCGATAACCAGGGCGGATTGGCCCAAGCTCCTCACACACCCTTGATTTTCATGATGGACTCGCTCTGACTGTGCAAGGAGGCCTCATGACCTCTTTTCCTCGATTTGTTCGGCAAGCAGGGTTCTGCCCACTTGTCCAGGCAAACTCTATGCCGGACTCTGTGGGGTGTCGCTTCTGCAGAAGCTGTCGTATTCTCAGGCCAGGCACTGGATGGGGTTTCGCGAAATGTAGGCTTGCTTGGGGGTGTCCCTTCCCTGCAGGCCTGGAAGTTTTATTGCTGCGGTGGATACAAGGAGAAGCCCACTCATCCTTACCTCTGGAACGTCACGCGCTTCCATCCTTTCTCTGCCTTGGTCGAGATCACGGAGACTTGTCATAGGCCTATACAGGGCCTCATATGGCCTCATGCCTTAGGCTCGAGAATTGTATCGAAGTGTGATTGATGTGCTGCTCACATGATCTTCGCTGCAGTTATCGTGGACATCCTGCTTGCTTGCATTGTGCCAAATGGGTCGCCTGGGTAATTGCAATCGCAGATGGCAGTCATTGTGGTTGCTCCATGTGCAGCGTGAGCTCAGGAAGGCGTTGTGGCCGCACGAAATGTCGCACGCTCAGTGGCCATTCTGTGTACATAGACATCTGTGTGTGGCCTTGAGTTTCGCGATACGTCCCATGGTGACACGTGCGCAGATTGGAGCCGTTGCTGTGTGCCCCGAGGGCCCAAACTGCCCCCAGGGTAGTGAGGTGCACTATTCAATAAGCGAAAAGAGCCATGGTTAGCGTTGGAAGATGGTTGCTCCTGGTTGTGGGCGTTGCCGTGAAAGGGTTGGACAACGAGTTCGTGGCCATCTCCGAGCATGGACACCTTCACTTGGAGTCTGGCACAGGGAATGAGACCGCCCTCGAACTTGGCCAGCTGTCGGCGGATGGCCACGGCCACAGGTGCTTCGCGATCGGCCATTCGTGCTGGATCGATGCCCAGTGCTGCTCAGCACGCTGCCAGACCCGAACCAGGAAGTGTCGTCCAATCCGCTGAGTTCAACGAAAGTTGTTTGAAAGATTCGGCTGAGCCACCTTACTGAACCACTGAACTTCCGGCATCTTCCGGCACTTAGGCCTTAGGATTCACTTCGGAATCGCGAAGATACACACCAGGGGGGCCTGTCGAAACAGGAGTCCAGCCGTTCCCACCCGGAAGAGCAAAGCAAAGCATACCGGGCCTTTAGCATCACTGCCCAAAAGGAGCCAAGCCGTTTCGATGACCCCCCCAAATTGACATGCTTTTGAGAACTCCGCCTCTGCCAGAAGAGCCCAAAAAGTTCTCTGCCTGCTTCAGGGCTTAGGATGTTCAGCCGCAGCCAAAAGGCTCTCATGTTTCTTCTGTAAGGAGCGGATGGGGGTCCTAAGCTGGTGGAGGGGGTGGGGGTCCTAAGCTGGTCTCTTCGTCGGGGGTACCGGTGTTAGGCCGCTGGGTTTCCACTCATAACTCACTGCCTTGAGGGCTGCCGTGAAACAGCTGGGTTGGGCTTGGGAAGCTGGGGTGGTCTGTGAGCCCTCAGGTCATGCTCGATGAGGGGCGCCGGCCGCAAAATCCACTCTGGCTCTTTCTTGCAAGCTACGCCACTCTGGCATTGAGGTCGGGCTTGCGGGGTGCTTTGTACGAATTTGTGGGTTTTGCCTTGGGTGCTCTGGGGAGGTCGATCTGTGTGGGTGTGAGCATGAGACAGGCTGACTTCATTGAACCTCAATGATGCCATGATCCGGTCACTGCTGTTTATGCCGCTCTACACCAAGTTCCTGATGACCATGCACAGGATGTCGGGAGGGAGGGGACAAAAAGTCCAGAACTTGATGGGACCCGAAGACTCCCAGCGCCTGCACCCTAAGCCCCTTACCCCCTGAGCCCCCCAAGACCTTCAACCGCCTGACGCCCATTGTAACCCCTCCGAAGTCCTTAAGCCTACTGAAGCCGCTCCAAAATCCCTTAAGCTTACAAAACCCCCGAAAGTCCGACACCTCTCCCGGCCTTGTCAGGGACTGCATGAGCGAGCAGCCCCATTGCCTCACCCGCTTCTTCGGCTCGAGGCTCCCGTTGAAGGGTTCAGGGCATTGGGGTTTAGCGATGTTCTCGGGGCCTGGGATTTCAGGGTTTGGGTTCAAGAGTTGTGGGCTCCTTAGTGTGCAGGGGCTTGGGGTTTCAGGTTTGGGGGGATTGGGGGTGGATTGGGGTGGTTTGGGGTTTGGGATTCTCCTATGCCCTGGCAGCATGACAGTTTGTGCCCAAGCAGGACGATGGCCTGGTTGGGCTCCCTCGCCTTCCCGATGTTCATCGTCCACGGACCTGTGGGGCAGATGTGCCGAGTCTGCGCTTATTCCAACTTGTGCTTTGAAAAGCTTAGCGAGAAAAACTGTGCCTTGGGAGTTTGAGATGTTATCCACAGTAGGCGAAGAGAGAAAGTGAAGCACAGCCTGGCCAGAGGCGGTTCTTTGTGTGCTCCGTGTCGTTTTGTAAAGTAGAGCGGCGCATGCACCAAGATTCTACAAGAAGACCATTGCCACGAAGCTCTGGGGCCGTGTGATGCCTAAGCCGTTCTTCCCGATCTACTTGATGATTGTCATGGCCGTGGCCCACCTCTTGAATGAGGGCTTCGTAAAGAACAAGGCCGGATGACCCGGTGCAAAACCGCATTGGGCTCAGTCGCCTGGCCCTTCCCCTCCCCCACTTACCTTCCCCCCCTTCCCCCCCCCCCCGTTTGATGTGCCCAGCGAGCGCGCATGACCAGCCCGTGAGCAGGCGGTGCAGCGCCTGAGCGCCCGCTTGGCGCAGTTCCTTGCAGATCGGACACACGGCATGCTCCAGGTCGGGATGTCGGGGGGTGTGTGTGGAGCTTGCAAAAGGGGGTCCCCTGCTTCGCCCAATGGGCCCCCTGCAAGGACCTTCATCGACGCTCCCGCAGCTTTGGCAGCCTTGGCAGCTTTAGCAGCCTGAAGGATGCCCATGCGTGAGAGCCACTTGCGTGAGAGCCACTTGTATGCAGCAGCATGTACAGGATTCTAGCCCTGCTGCGGTTGTGGCCCAGACGCTTGTCTGGGTGTGCATTTGCACTCGGTGTTCGTGGCATGTGAGAACATGCTCCACGCAGCACTTCAATGTGATGGCCTTTGAATCACACAAGCTGACCAAGTCAGTTACCAAAGCTTTTAAGCTGCACTTCAGCCTTCGCATGCTCTGCCAACCGGTAGGCATGGGTTTGTCCAGAAGCTGAAGTCGAGAGAATTCATTCATCAGTGCCAAGGCATGAGCGTTTCATGGTTTCATGGCACGACTGGTCTTTATTTGCACAGTGAGTCTTCGAGCTTGCATGTCGTGTGGTGGACAGCTCTACGACGTGCGGCCAGACGCCTCGCAGCCGAACTCGGCGCAAAGGTGGTGAGTTTAAACGCCACGGAGGCAGCTTCGGATGACTGCAGCCTGTCCCGACACAGGGTGCCGAGTGGGTCAAGGAGACCTGCGATCCGACCTTCGTCTCCAGACACACACAGTAACGCCTATCATCCAGAGTCAAAGGAAGTTTTGTGGGTGGACTTTCCATGGTTTTTTTGTCGGTGCTTGGGTTGGGCTGTCAAGACCGGCCCCGACTCCGATCGCCCAGAAGTCCTCGATTGCGATCCTGGGAAGTGCATTGATTGCTGAATCGCTACCAGTATCGGGTAGAAAATCTGCCCTACCCGAGTTCTGAACCTCAAGGACAGGTTTAACCACCCTGATTGGCTTAGAAGGATGTCCACCCTAAACCCTAAACCCTAAACCCTAAACCCCAAACCCTAAACCCTAAACCCTAAACCCTAAACCCTAAACCCTAAACCCTAAACCCTAGACCCTGAAACCCTAAGCCCCAAACCCTAAACCCGTACACTGAAGCTTTCGGAAGCCGAGGCCCGGTCCTCATGACGCCCTGGGGCAAGGACCCTCTGAGAAGCACTCGGCTCTTGCGAGGGCCTTGCAAGATGAGAGAATCTAGCGGCAGAGCATGAGTTTAATATCGCATGGTATAGCAGAATGTAGTAGGATATCAGAGTATAGCAATATACCACAACCTAAGTGAGATAAGACAGTATAAGATAAGACAATACTATAGCAACTGAACCCACAGTCTTGAGGGGCCTAAAGCCTGACAGTCAGGGAGTCGCCCTGGGGGGTCGAGGTGTGTGGTTTTGGCGGTTTCGCGCTTAGGTTGTTGGCTCTTCGGGTGTGCAGACTGGAGAGTTGAGATCAGCAGCCCTAAATCCTAAACTGTAAGGCCTAACCCGACAGCAAGGAAGAGATGCAGGGTTTCAGGAGACATGGGGACCCGGGAACGGCTTTTCCCTTGCGAGGACTCTCCTCATGCCGAGGACATAGCACTCCTGCAGGCCTGGAGAGCCCCCCCAAGAAAGTCCCGAGTGTCAGGTTTACGGGGCAGCAGGGCAGAGCATGCTTCGACTCTTCAACTTCTAAGTCAGCTCAGGAAGTGCTCAGCTCCCGAAAGCCGGAAGCCTCAGAGCATCCTTTGAGAGACGCTTCTTGGAGCTGAGGGCCGTGCGTGCAAGGGCTTCAGTCCCATCTGAGCCTTGGCGGTTGAAGGGTAGTGAAGTCATGATCGGGCATGACAAGTACGACAGAGTCTCCAGCGCGCTCGCCCTCAAGACTGGCCTAAGTCCTAGGTGCAAGCAGTCCAGCCTGCAGTGAAGGCTACAGGGATCCCTAGATCCTAAGCATTCCTTAAAGGCCACTACCACCTCCGAAACAAATAATAGCAAAGGGCACAAGCATGGCAGCGGCGATGCACGGGGCAAGTGCCTACTGGGAGGCTCTCAAAAAACAAAAGGGCTGCCTTCAACAAAGGTGGGTAAACAGAGGGGCTTCGGGCTTCGGGTGTATGGGGCGTATGGGGTTATAGGGTTTCCATGGGTCTCCTCGATCCTCTGCCGCCCATGTCGGGTGCCCTGAAGCGGAAAGCCTCCACGGCGCTGTGCGCCCGCGAGTCGGAGGCGGAGCTGCCCCAGACCCTGCAGCAGCCGGGACGACACTTCGGGGGTTTTGCCGGGAGGGGTGGGGGGGGGGCTTCTCGGGGTTTTGAGGGGGCTTGCAGTTTGATTTTCTTCCAGTTTGTATTGGGAAAAGGGGCTCTGAGGTTCTCGTTTCGCCTCCCCCTGCAACCATGAAACCCCAAGCCCCTTAACCCCTCAACCCCCGAACCCTACAATCCTAAAGCGCCTAAAGCCCCAAGCCATCCCTGCTCGAAGCTCGAATCCTGAACCTAGAAACCCAGGACCCCAAACCCTGAACCCCAAACCCTGAAACCCTAAACCCTACAACCTTTAACCCTAAACCCTAAAACACCCTAAACACTAAACCCTAAACTCTAAACCCTGAACCCTAAAACCCCAAACCCTAAAACCCTGAACCCAAAAACCCGAAGCCCTAAACCCTAAAACCCTCAACCCGAAGTCCTGAAACCCTAGGTTTCCTTTGGCCCTCCACTTGAGCCCGCGGATCCCCAGCGACCGCGCCGCCGCGCTGGCGGCGCGGGTGACCGCCGACTCCACGGCCCGGCGACTTAAAGGGGGTTCAGGGTTTAGGGTTTAGGGTTTAGGGGTGGTGGTTTACGAAAATAGGGGACCCCTAAAATAGACCCCCAAATAGTAGGATCCCCTTATGATAAGGACCCCAGTAAGGCATCCCGTGAATTTCAGAAACCGCCATGTAGGGTTTTCCGGGTCTACTAACAGGGGTTTAGCGGTTTAGGGTTCAGAGTTTCAGGCATATAGGGTTTGTCTCGGGGGTCTAGGGCTCGGAGTTTAAGGTTTCAGGTTGAGGGTTTAGGGTTGAATTTGGGGGTTTTAGGGTTTAGAGTTTAGGGGTTTAGGGTTTACTTTGGGGGTTGAGGTTTAGGGTTGAGGATGTGTAGGATGTTTTGTGTTGAGGGTGTTTAGGGTTGAGGATGTTTAGGATATTTAGGGCTTGTTGAAGGTTGAGGGTTTTAGGGTTGAGGATTCGGGTTGAGGGTTTGGGGCCTTTTTAATGTGGCTAGGTTAATCAAGTCATGAGCACGAGCGGCGGGTGTGGTTGTGTTGTCTTCGTATGGGAAAGGTTCAGGACGCCTTTGTTTCAGGAGCTTAGGCTTTCGGTTTAAGCCTGAAGTCTTGGGGACTCTTTGGAGGCTTTTTGTAACGCACGGGTTTTGGTAAGTCGGTTCTGGTTGTGAGCTTTTGCTGGCCCAGGTTGGGTGGCCTCTGACGTTGAGCTTCTGATTGTTTGGTTTAGGCTTGGGGATCTTGGGTTGCAGGAATCGCGTGTTCAGGGCTGATCGAAGGTCGCAAGGGACCTTGTGCAGTATTGCATCGTGCATGCGTCTCATGCGCAAGCGTAAGGGGTCGACCCAAACACGTCGACTGGACCCATTGTCCCGATCTCAGGTCAATTCCCCTTTAGAAGCCAGGAGCCATTGGTGTGGGGTTTGAGGTTTAAGGTGGCGCTTGGGATTCTGAGCCCCCCCCCCCGCCCATGGAAAGTAGCTCTGTCCAGGGAGACCTGCGCATCGCCGACTCGGAGGCCACCGGGGGAGGGAAGCTGGCGCGCTGCTGCTGATGTTCCGCTGAGTCTAGGGCCTCTAGCGCAGCTACTGGTAGGGTGGTTTCAGTGGTTTCAGCTTTGTGTCCAGCCGTGTTCCACTCTTCTCCACTCAATAGCCGGTCACAGGTTCGAGGCGTTGAGGATGGTTGAGACTCGTGTGCTCTCTGGCTTGGTGTAAGTCGAAGATGGAGGAATAGTGTCCCCTGAGCTTCACAAAGCTGCTTGCCATGTCAGTCCGAAAGTCCTTAACTGCTCCGCTTCTGCGGCTCATGGTCGGGGATGTTCTCGCCGTAGTCGTGGTCGCTGTGTCGTTGCGGTGGCAGTGCCGGCGTGGTCGTCGTTTGATGGTAGTGTTGGGATGTACCAAGTCAGAGCACTCTCCCAGGATGGGCCGCTGGTCGTCTTACACAACTTCGAGACAGAGGAGAACACAGGGTACATCAAGACTCCAAGCAGGTTGACCTTAAAAGCCCTCATGTTTGGCGCGAGAAGGAGCTCACCATGCTGAAGCAGCGGGGCAAATCTGTGGTTGGTGTGCCTTTTGCCCGGGGCCCGAGTGCCCCCAAGTGCGTGTGCAAGTGTGTGAGAGTACTCCCTCTTGTGCCGGCGAGCAGCTGCGCACCTGCAGGTGGAGCGGTTGCTGAGGGAACGGAGCTTGCTGGACAAGGCCGGATGGTTGGCGGTCAGTTGAGCCCCTGTAAATGTCATGGTGGCGCGCGTTTGTGGCTCCCTCCACCCGCCCCAGCCTTGTGTTGGTTAAGGTCTGGGCGCTGCCGCTGTACGACTTGATCTACCGGTCTGAGAAGGGCCTCTGCTTTTCGGCCCTTGGGCCTGACGTGAACAGTGGGATCCATTCGGTCGTCCCCCACTCGCTGAGGGCCCTGCGTTAGAACCCCAAAACTTTCAAGGCCCCGAACCCTTATCCCTGCACCCTCCTGCACCCCTACAATGCCCTAAGACGCATCAGATACATGCAGCACATGCACCCATGGCATCTTTCGCAAGGAAGGTTGTCTTATCTACCAATACGATGACCAAGCAACTGTTGAGATGGTTCTTCAACAGAGATGGGCTGTAAGCGTTGAACCTGGAACCCCAAATCCAGAATTTCTACCTTCGGGTCTGGCACTGTGCCAAAAGAGTCAGAACAGTCAAGCGCAGCTTGTGTTTCGAGTCCAGAACATAGCGCATACACGGGGGGTTTCCGAAAATCGGGGTTCCCTTTTGGGGGGTTCCCTTGAAGGGGACTCCGTTCTACTTGGGGTATAAACGGGGCATAATACCCCCTACTTTGAGAAACACCCACATGTCAGGGAGTCGGCCACCCGACCGATGTCAGACCGAGGCCATGACTCCTCAACATCGCTGCCGCTGCCAGGCCGCTTGGAGGGGACCCTAAACCCTAAACCCTAAACCCTAAACCCTAAACCCTAAACCCTAAACCCTAAACCCTAAACCTTAAACCCTAAACCCTAAACCCTAAACCCTAGACCCTAAACCCTAAACCCTAAACCGGGGGGTGGCTGAGGGTTATGGATGTTGGCGCGTAGAAAATTGGGGGTTGAGGGTTTTGGTGTTTGGGCAGTTTGGTGTTTCTGAGAGTAGAGGAGCATCTGGGAATCTCGGGCTTCGGGGGCTCTTCTCTGGGGTTCGGAGTTTCCTTATCCTGCTACCCTGCACAGCTTTCCACCTCGAAAAGCTCTGTACTCAAAGCCGGCAGGACATCGCCACCTGGGTTGGCGCGCGGGTGACTGAAGAGGTGACCCCAGCGACGGAGCTCCTGGTGGCGCAGAAGGCAGCAGCCAAAGTAGGTTAAAATCTGAGCCATGGGGATGTATCTGATATTCACAAGATAAAATCCAGTAATCGATGTGTTCCCTCACATGTTTTTGGTGTTCGCTGAGCTAGCTCGAAACATGCGCAAAGAACGCACGCTTAGTTTCAGACAGCCGGCGTCACTTTGCCACGCTGCAGTTCGCGCTTGACCTGAGAGTGCGCAAAGAAGAATAGCCGGATAACATGTCCTAGGTACGCTAGGAAGAATTGATTATGATTCGGCGACTCCCGTACTTTTTGCCTCACAGAAGCTTTGCACCACACCAGCCCCCCAAGCCCTCCCACTTCTGCACACCACCCCACCCTCCCACTCCACCCCAATACCCTCCTACCCTCCCTCCCCAAAGAAGAGGTCAGCCTGCGGCCGGACTCCAAGTACCAGATGGCTCTGAACCTCAGGCTGCCCATCGTCAGGTGCCCGGGGGCTTGCATCCTTTGCTTCTTTATGCCTTTTTCTTGGGGTAAAGGCGCCTTACTGGGCAGACTGGGCTTTGCTTGAGGGTGTGGAGGACGTTGAGTAACTTGGGGTTTGGTTTTTTTTCAGTTCCAGGCCCAGCTACCTCGAAGCCCTGTGGAGCCAGCAGCGGCTGGTGGACAAAGAGCCACTCGGACACTTCTCGGAGGGGTTTGAAGCGGCCGCAAGGCTCAGGGTTGGGGATGTAGAAGTGGAGATCCAGCCAAAAGGCACATGAGTGCGTGCCTCAAGCAATCACTATTTTCGGTTAGGCCCTTACTTATTCTTCTGTCATGGCAGCGTTCGGTCCACACACGTGGCTCCTTTTGAACACAGGGTACTCCGAAAAGCTCTTGGTCCATAGGTCTGCTTGTGTATAGGCGATCCCCGCTACAAAATCGGCCAAGTGTTTGGAGAACCAAATTGCTGGACCACTCCGGCATAAAAAACTCTGACAAGAGTAGCAGAGGAGCACTCAGATCCAGAGCCACACAGGCTTACGTTTTTGGCAGAGTAGGCTCTTGGAGAAAGTCACATATCATTACTTCCCACCATACGGCCAAGACCCATGTCTGCAGAAATCGCACACAGATCCCACTCTCGTAGGAGCTCCAAATCTTGATCCCGACAAAGAAGCGCTGCTGACGTAGCGAATTTTGATAGACGTAGCGCATTTTGATACATCAACGGCCGGGGGACACTCCGCAAGTGTGCAAGATCTTGGTTCTAGTTGCCTTCCGATCAGACCATTCGGTACATCGCCGTTCCCTAGGCCACACTACCCCTGATGGGCCAGAAGTTTCCCGAAAAGGCTTGACCCCGGTTTTGCTGTCTGCGCAAACGAGCACTCGAAACCCTGCAACCCTGGAACCCCTGGACCCGAATGCCTCGAGGACCCACTTTTTGCCACCGTTGGCTGGGCTGGCCATCAACCTTGGTCCGGTCCAGGTGGGATCCGGTGGGTTTCTTTGGGGGTTGAGTGGTGTAAAACTTAAGGGCCCACCTCCCCCTCCATCATATCTTCTCAGAGCCCTAAAACAAAAGGCACGCAGAGCTAGGGTTGAGGGTCGAGGGTTTGGTCGTTTTTTGTTTGGATTGTGTGTGTGTGCACTAGAGCTGAAAGCATGTATTCTGCATGGCTGACAAGCCCCAATGCATTCCAGCTAGAGCCGGGAAGCCAAGCCCTCAAACCGAAGACGACAGGACCAGGTCTCACCGGAGCTCCGACGGCGTGCCGAAGCTGCTGGGGTTGCTCGGCAAGGGAAGATATTGAACTTGCTTTCCTGGCTTGGCTTGGGCTTTTGGGATGTCCGTGCATGGTGGGAGGTATCTGCCTGGGGTTTCAAGGGCGCAATTTTGCGCCCAGAACATCTCGTGTGCAGGCTACGATCACGACTTTGGACAAGGCGGAAATCATCATCGTGACAGATGCCTCGAAGCCGATCTACAAGGCCGGGAATATCCTCCAGTCAGAGTCAGACCTCAGAACCTCCCAACAACCACCCGAAACGCATCTCCCCACCACACCTCCTTTTCTCCTGGGCCATGTATCCCTGAAGCCATTCAACTTCCAACCCCTAACCTTCCTAAACCCTCACACCACCCCCAAAGCTCTCCGTTACTCCCCCTTATATAGACGAACTTACAATACAAGCTCTTCCACCCTTCTTATGCCCTCTGCCCCCCCTTGAAGAGGAGGGGAGAAACTTGGGGATGCTCCTGGCGCCTCCGCGCTGGCTCGAGCGCTGCCTTCAGCTGCTTGGGAGGTTGACTTCCAGCACCTTCTTTCTTCATTTTTTCCTCTTTTGTTTGGCCTACAAAGGGCAAAAGGCTTTTAGGGTTTCCGTGGGGCCAATGGGGCCCGGAGAGGATCGGCTGCTGCCTGGAGATTGCCGGAGAGCTGGAGGCGACTCGGCACGTTCTGTCCTTGTTTCGGATGTTTCGGGACGTTTCCGGGAGTCCGGGCTTTAGAAAGATAGTTATGATGATGATGATGGTGGTGGTGGTGGTGATGATGATGATGATGTTTATTGTTGCTTATCATGATTACGATGTTATGATTCTGTCTTGTCAGTATTCAAAAAATATGGTTCTGATTTTGCATATATAAATATGTATGTATGTATGTATGTATGTATGTATGTATGTATGTATGTATGTATGTATGTATGTATGTATGTATGTATGTATGTATGTATGTATGTATATATATATATATATATATATATATACATATATTGTATAGGTCTCTTCTAGCCGAGAAGCCCTTAGCCGTGAACCCAGCACCTTGAACCTCCTCTCGGTTCTGAGAGTTTGTCCACGAGGTCCCCCAGGCAGGCGTCCCTATGGGCGGGAGCCTGCTCAGCGTGGAGGCGAGGAGCGTGAGGGTGCCAAGGATTTCTTTTCACAGGAACTTGAGGCTTTCGGTGTCTCTTTATCGCTCTTTGCACTCAGAGGTCATGGTGCTTGCATGGTGTGTTTCAGTGTTGGAGTTGAAGGCTTCCGAGCTTTCAGCAGGTCGTGGCGCGACCTCCTTGGAAGGGTTTAGGCTTTGGACCCGGAACATGCGCAACTCGACTCGAGAAGCTGGCAGCTAGGTTCATGAGTAGAAGGTCGTTAAATACTACATGAGCCTTCATAGATTCTTCATAGATTCTTTCAAGTACTTGCTCGAACTGAGCCCCGAAACATGTGCCGGAGGCAGAGATTTCCCCTATCTTGGCAGACTGTGTCCTGTGCCTTGTGTGTCTCGGCGGCCTGGAGACTTTCCGAAGCCTGGAACCCTCTCAGCACCCCAGTATGCCCCTAAAGGGTGCTCAATGCGTTTCACCTCAGCTCTCCACTCCTCTCCCACTCCTCTCCTCCCTGTCCTCTCCCCTCTCCCCTCTCCCCTCTCCCTTCTCAGAAGCCCCGGATGGTGCTCGTTTGCAGCGTCTATGGTCGCAGCAGTGTCAGCAGAGAAGCAGCTGGAGCGCTGTGAAGAAGCATGGCCATTAGCTGATTAGCTGCTTTTTCAGATAGCAGCTCAGGTATCTGCCTCCAGGCCGTGGGGGATGGGTACCCCAAGTTGGAATCGCTAAAGACCCCAAAGGGCACCATGGGGCGCACCGAATCGAAGCATCAATGTTTTTGTTGGCTTTGTATGTCTCGGGGTTTGTCTAATTTCTGGGCACTTCTTTGGGTGTCTGGACGAATATGCATATATAGATATATAACACTATGTATATATACATATATGTATATGTATAAATATGTATGTGTATATGTATATGTATATGTATATGTATATGTATATGGATATGTTTTTGTATATGTTTTTGTATATGTTTTTGTGTCTTTGTATATGTACATGTATATGTATACGTGTATGTATATACATATATTCGTTTTTGCTTCTTTTAAGGCAAGTCCTTTCTACAGAGCGCAAGAAGAAGGCCCACAATTCGGAAGAATCCTCGTGTGGGATATGTGGGGTAGGATCCATGGTGATTCAAAAGGCGATGGCAAATCATGATGGTGAGTACTCCGGCTGCCAGTGTCTACGAAGTGGTGCGGATTGGGCATTGCCTGTGCTGACAAGCAGCGGATATCAACAGGAAGTTTCATTGTCAAGTAACATCCCGTTCGATACTCTTTGCCGTTCAGCTTAGTGAAGTCACGGTTGGGAGACATGCCCCAAGCAATCCAACATCTAGCCGTGGAAAACTCCAAAGCTTGGCTCTCCAGTCCTGCTGACTTGGCAGGTCGGGCCCGCGACCAGGCTTTGCACATGGCATATCGCTGTGGGGCCATGACTGGGGCTTGTAGCCTGGGAGGGCTGAAAGGGGGAGGTCTTGGAGTCTTGGAGTGGCAGCTTGGGGATTGCCGTGAAGTACCCCAAAACCCTAAAGTGTGGGGAACTTTCTCAGCTTCGGGCTCCCAGGCCCCCCACTACCCACGCCTTGAACCCTAAACCTGAGAACCAAAGAGCCCCTGACACCCAAAAACCTGAAGCCCTGCGCCGGAAGAACCTTTAGAAACCAAAAGCCCTTTATCGATAGAACGCCGGCGCGACGCGCGAGGACCACCTTGGAGCCCAACGACTCGCAGGTGACGCACGCCGCTTGGCGCGGCGACGAAGCGATTTTCCAAAGGGGCCGCCAGTTCCTTTTTGCGACGGCTCAGGGTGAATAGGGCCTTTGTTTTGGGGGTGCGGGTGGGTAGGTGGGTTTGAGACCTCGAGGAGCCATCTTGAGGTTTCAAGAGATGGCATTGCTGGGGTTTGGTTCTCTGGGCGATTGAGCAAAAGGAACATACAACTCGCTCAGGTCCTTTTCAACGTCGTTCCTGGTGTTTTGGTCAATGTGTCTGTTCGCGTAGACGAGGACCGCTGCGGGTCACGGTGAAGGCACGAAAGCTCGCGTAGCGTAGGGGGCCGACCACGGCCAGAAAACAGCGTATTATTGATACTATCTTATTGGGGGGGAGGGGGGGTAAATTGATATATCACACGAATTCCTTGGTTTTGGAAGGGAGGGGGGGGGGGGTAAATTGATACATCACACGAATTCCTTGGTTTTGGAGGGGGGGGAGGGGGGGGGAAATTGATATATCAATACCTGAAGGGGGGGAGTTTTTACGTCAGACCTGACTCCGTCGCGTGTTGACCGCAGTGCGTGAGTCAGGCTCCCAGCACAATGATGTGTTGATTGCAACGAGCTAGTTGATTGCAAGAAGCTAGTATCTTCCCTGCGACGGCTGAAAAGAAGACTCTGACCCCTCAAGCATGCCTCCAACAGGTCCCTGCCCACACTTTCTCATGCAACTTTGCTCTTGCTTCCAGCCCCCGAGCTTTCGTCCTCCCTGCCTCCGGCCCTCAAGTTGGGCTGCCGAAGACTGAAGAGTGATAGTGTGCCCCTTGGGTTGGTTGTCTTGAGAAGCCTTCCGCGCCCTCACCCTCCCTTTTTTTTGGTGTTTAGGGATTTGGGGCAAGGGACGCTTGGACTTCGAAGTTCAGGGGGGGGAGTGCTCAGTACAACCTCCCCGAAATGATGTCGGGGCTCGCGCATCCTTTGCATGGCCTCTCTTGGCCCTTTCTTGCTGCCAGCAGGAGGATGACCGCGTGCAGCTCGTGGATGTCCGCTGGCTTGAAGCTTGCGTGGATACCGGGAAGAGAGCTTCGGAGCAAGGTTTCCCCAGGCCCGGGGACTTGGCAGAAGTCAGCAGTCTCACTTGACCATGTGGTGGCCCAATCAGTATAACAATTGCGAGGCCTCGTGTGACCTACAATCCGAGCTGCGACGCCGCCTACTCTGCGGCCCTTCAGCCGGACTCGAGCACTCCAAGCGCCGGCGAGGCGGCAGCGGCACCGAGGTAAGCAAAATTCAGCAAAGCAAGAAGCTTAAGTTAAGCTACGGAGAAGAACCTACGGAGAACCTGATAGGATCCACGAACCCGAATGCAGACATGTGTTACCAACTTCGGCAAGAACGATACGATGTGCAGACACGACACGCAGACGGGACACGAGGACACGACGTGAAGACGAAGACACGATACGACACGAAGATACGACATGAGGACACGACACGAAGAGGAAGATGCGACACGAAGAGAAATACCCGGGGGGTGGGGGTAGGTGGGGGGAGGTGTGCGACACTCGTGAACGCTTGCCCAGGTTTGCGGACTCTTGTGAACACAAACGCAACGGCTTTTGGTCACCTTCCGGCCCCCAGACCCCCAACTTTAAGACGAGAACCTTCTGCGGAGCATTCGGGAACAAGAACGACAAAACCCACAGTCGTACGCACAAAAGCAAAGACGACGACGAGAAGGAGGAGGAGGAGGACGACGACCATCAGGCATTCCTGGGAGAACCGCGCGGGGTTCCCCACCTGCTACCCACTGCTACCTATACCTACTACCCGCTGCCTGCTACCACCTACCTACTACTACCATTGCCTACCTACTTTTTATCTCTTGCTACCTATTGCCTGCCACCTGCTGCCGACAACCTTCTACCCGCTACCTGCAACCTGCTACTACCTAACCTGCTAGGACGACGACGATGCCGAACACTGCCACTGCCACTGCCACTGCCAGTGCCAGTGCCAGTGCTACGTCCACTGCCACTGCCATTGCCCACTGCCGCTAGCGGCAGGCGCGACGTGTCGAGGGCGGCGCTGCCCTCGAGGATGTCAGTGCCAAGAGCACCCAGCTGGTTGAGGTGCTGTTGGGTGAACTCCGGCAGGTTAACGGTTAACAGGTACTCCCCAAGCCCAGGACCCTGAGCTGTTCACAGAAATCTGAAGCTTTTGCTTCAGGGCCGAGATCCTCCGCATCCGGAATTTATTCTGGACCCTGTCGTGCCCCCCCCCACATCGAGACCCATTTTGGGGTTAGGGCAGATGGTGTCAAGACGCCAGTCTCGAAGTCCCGCAGCAACAGGACCCGTCGAAGGAGCCGAAATCTCGAGCCCGTTAAAAGTTGAAATCCTTCAAAGCGAACCCAGACCCTCAACCCTACACCCATATTCTGGGCCCCCCAGAAGCCCTTCAGAATCCCTCAGCCTTCAAGGGCCTGCAAAACTTTCGGCTCTCCTGTCCAGGCTCCAGCTCAGCCTGGGCCGCTGGATGGCCCGCCGCTGCCACGGGGCCTGCAAAAGATACCCGAAAGAAATCCCCCGACTGACCTGGGATTTAGTGGTCAGGGGTTCGGGCTCATGGTCTCAAATCTTGGGTTTCGGTCTATTCAGTAGTTGTGCGCGCGAGGAGCCGCCAAGAAGCGACATTTTTTGGGCAGATCCCCATCCAAAGGTCCGGCCTCACCATCCGCATCACGGGGCTGGATGGCTCCTGGCAGGGCTCCAGGGAAAGGCAGCGTCTGCAGGCCCAAAGCTCGTGTTTCTTGGGATGTTTTGAAGGGTTTGGGTTTGTAGGGTTTGTCGAGTTTAGGGGCTTAGTGGTTTATGTGGGTTAGGGTTTGGGGTTGAGGTGTTTTGGGGTGTTGTGCCTGTGCCTGACAGCACCCTAAGCCTTGCTGCAGTCGGCGCATTTCAGGCACTGGCGTGGGGGGGGTCTTCTCCCTGTTCGGGTCCACGATTTCAGGGTTTCGGGTAGGTAACCTGGTAATTTCCGGTTTCCTAAGCTCCCCTAGGTGCACCGCACGTCTACGGTTTTTGGTTTTGGGTTCACAGGAGCTGAAAGCAGTTGGAACCTCGTGGACAGACCGCTTGTCTCAATGCGGTATGTCACACATTCCGGCCTGCCATCCCTTTCCACCCCGTGTGCGAAGCTCCTAAACTCCAGCCCTTACCACAGGCCCTGAACCCTGATCCTTGGAGATGAAGCTTCCGAAGCCCCCCAAACCCTCAAGTCGGGTTCAGCAGGAGATGGTACAGACCCTTGGAGCCAAAGTGGCGGATCAAACGAGCCGCCTTGCGGACATCACGCACATCGCCTGCTCCTCGGGCTTCACCTAGCAGCGCAAGGGGACGTTTGGGGGTGGCTCTGCTGGGGGCTTGCAGGGGTTTTGGGTTTAGCTTCTTGGGGTTTAAGAAGTTCTTGGCGGGCGTGATGCCGGGACACCCGTCATCTCCGACCCAAACCCTGAAAGAACAAAGTCAAAAAAAGCTCCAAGCGGTCAGGTCTCTAAATCACGGTCCTCCTTGAATCCCGGTTATGTTGTAGCACGACCCTTTTCTGCCTAGGAAATATACCCTAACCCCGACAGACCGCCCCAAAGTGTGGCCCGCAGGTGTGGTCCCGGAGCGCTTGGAAGCTGGCCTGGCTGAGAAAGCCAAGAAGCGGCAGATACACTTGGCCCCGTGGCGTTTCAAATTATCTTCTCTCTGTTTTTCGTCAAGAAGTGGACCCCGGTTTGAGATATTTTTGTGGCTATTTTTGGGGCATCTAGCCACACGGTCACAACCCAGAGTGCTTTTGAAAAGAGTTAGCTCCAAAGATCCCCCGTGATCCAGGTGACAGCACAGTGGCTGCTAGACTGCAATCGGCGTGGCAGCCGTCAACCAGAAGCCAGGTACAACGTCAGCAACTTGCCTGGCATCCAGGCACGAAACATCCCAAAAACCCTAAACTCCTGAGCCCTGAAATCTTCAAAAACCCTGAACCCGAAGCCTTAAAACCAAACGACCAAGGACCCTGGAACCCTTGAGAATACGGCCCCAAAGCCCAAGGCCCTAGAGTCAAAATAGCCCCTAAACCCTAAACCCTAAACCCTAAACCCTAAACCGAACCCTAAACCCTAAACCCTAAACCCTAAACCCTAAACCCTAAACCCTAAACCCTAAACCCCCAAACCCCAAACCCCAAACCCCAAGCCTTAAACGCCAAACCTTGAAACCGCGGCCCAGGGGATGCGGCGCCTGCGGCCTCCCCAAGTCTATCGCTGGAGGACGAGGCCTTGGCCAAAGCTAGCTCCTGCGTCTTGCCTTGCAAGAAGTTTCGGGTTTGACCCTAAACCCTAAACCCTAAACCCTAAACCCCAAACCCGAAACCCTAAACCCTAAGCCCTAAACCCTAAACCCTAAACCCTAAACCCTAAGAGGTTAGGATTGAGGGGAGGGTTGGGTTTGGGAGGCTCCTTGGGGTTTTTTTGGTTGCAGGGTTTTGGGGTGTAGTTGGGGTGGCCGGGGTTTCGGGTTAGGGTTTGCAGCGTGTACGTACATAGGATAAAGGGGAGTGGCGGAGGGAATAGTTAATGCTAGACTTTTGTTGTGGGTTCTGAGTCTCTTTTGGGATTCAGGGTTCAGGGTTTGGGTGGGTTCGGGTCTCAGGCCCAGGCTGTGTGAGTTTAGGGTGGAGGGTTTGGAAGTAAGGTGTACTACCGTTTCGGGGTTGAGGCGAAGGTGATCAGGTTAGAGGGTGACTGGGGGCTAGGGTTGCTGGTGTTGGAGTTGAGGGTGATTGAGGTTTGGGATGTGAAGAGGTTCAGGATTCCCTCATTCGGCTCACGAGATTCTAGAAGAAGAATAAGAAGAAGCGGAGGACGAAAAGAGATCCAAGGCGTGGGGGCCACTGTCCTTGCCAAGTGCGACATCCTGGTGTCGCCTTGGGCCTTAGGCGGGGGCTTACCCCCCCCGCCCCCTGTGCTTTGACGGTTTTGTTTCAGAGAGGTATCCCGCTTCAAAGGGAACCCGAGCGTTTGGCAGCCGCCACTCGAGCCTGATGCCAGGCCTGCAGCCGAAGCTCATGCAGATGGCCAAGGCTCGGGGCTCAGGGTTTCGCTTCCCCCGAGCTTCAACCTCCCGGAAAAAAACATGGGAAGTCTAGGCGTGGGCACTTGCGTAGGTATACATATCGCAGAGGGTGCGGGCTGTTTTTTGCGGGTGGCACCCCCGCCCCCGAATGTTAAGACCTTAATGGCTTTTTTTCGGGGCAGAGTTTGATCTGGGGCTTCAGGTTTTTTTCTTTGAATCATGTTTGGAACTCCCCAAGGCTCCATACTTAAAAAAGGTCTGGACTATATCTGCAAAATGGGGTGGTTTCCAGAAGGAGCTTTTTGAAAGAGAGCATGTGAGTTCCAGAAGCCTTGGGCACATAGAAGGGACCTACAAGGCGCATTATACATATACACCTGTTCCGAAAGTAACCTGAAGGTGGATCCTTTGGTCAGAAGCCAGAAGCCTATGCTTCCGAAGCCCTAGTTCCAGGGCCCCAAGCCTTCCAGGGGGTCCCGAACGGACGTTGTAGGAGCCAAGGCAGCCAAGGGTGCGCGGCTTGCCGAGGGTTCGAGGGTTCGAGGCAGGTTTGAGGGTTTCATTCGCTCGGACCCTGATCCCCGAAGCTCCTAGAGGAGCTGGGGGCCACGTCCGTGCGGGCCTTCCGGAACGTTGAGGACCTGCGGGCCTTGCTGCAGGTGCCAGAAGCCAGCGAAGTGCAGAAACCTAAGCCTGAACCCGAAGGCGAATGAAAGTTTTGAGTAGGGCTTTTGCCAAGTTATGGGATGCTTTCGAAGGGTTCAGGGAACCCCTCAACCTGTGGACTGCGAAAGGCTGGTGACAAAACTGGAACATGTTGGGGGGGTTGTATGACCTCAAATGACCTCGATCCTGCACAATGACTCGAAACCTCGGCCCTACACCCGCAACCCACCCCCTGAAGTCCGCACACGCTGTCCAGGCCAAGGCCGAAGGCCAGGCGTGGGTCGTGGTCGTGGCCGCTGGGCTGCCCTGGGGTTAGGGGGTCACGCTTTGAAGCCCTCAGCTCCCAGGCCCTGAAGCCTCAAACTCTAAGCCCTCAAACCCTCTTTGGCCACAGGAGAAGGAGGAGGCCAGGCAAGGGTCCCTGGAGGGCTGTGCGGAGACGTGGACGCCCGAACTTCGCAGCATCTTCGTGCAGCCAAGCTGGCTCTCTGCGACCCGGTTGACGGGTTTTTGTGTTTGGGGTCCAGTGTGTAGGGTGCTTAGGGTCTAATTGGGGTGCTTAGGGAGCTTTGTTCTTTTTGGGCCTTGTGCGACACATTCAGGGTTTAGGGAAATGTGTTGAAGACCCAGGAGACCTACTCACAGCGCCGCCGGCTGGCCCTCAGCTCCTTCGCGGCCTTCTCGGGAGCGACTCCTCTGCATGCTGAATTTGTTTGGCTGAGATGGTTCAGGTTTGCGGGCTTCAGGGATTTAAGGGTTCCAGGCATGTAGTTGGCCAGGGTCGTTGAGCAAGGCTTCAGGCCCTGCATGTTCGCAGCGCCCCGAGCTCTCAACCTGAGGCTTGAACGGACCAAACCCAAAACACCCAGCGAACCGAAGCCAAGGAAGAAGATTCCGGGTCCTTGCCGCGAGTCGCTCCAGAGGCATCAGACTTGGAACATGGGCGTACGCAGCCCTTTGCAGGGCTTCGTCCCTTTTTTTGGAAGCCTTGTTGTGCTTTCGCCTGAGGCAGCCTACGCTTTCCAGCCAGCTGAGATGAAGCGGCCGCCCGGACAAGCCCAGGAGTTGTGGGAGCTTTGAGGTTTGCTTGGTGCTGCAGGATTTGGGGCGCTCTTAAGATCTGTTGCGCGTATGTTCGTCTGTTTGACCTGGGCCGAAACCACAACGCACCAAAACGAGGCCATTGCCGTCACTGTCAACCTTCGCGCTGAAAGCAGCCAAAGAATGTAACCAGCTCCACTGGATATCTTCAAATGGAATGTCGAGAGCAAGTCACTGAGGATGGAGGAGGAGGCGGCGCACCCTGGCGAAAGGGTGCCGTTGTAACGGCCGCTGTCTTTTGCTTGCTTTCATGCAAGCCGTCCTCGTGCGAGTTCATGTTCCGCCTTGCTCGGCTGTTCGGGCTGGGTGCGGTAGGTTCGACTCGAGCCCACCTTGCCCCTAGACCCTAAGCCCTGAACCCTGAACCCCATACCCTAAACCGCCACCCTTAGCTCAGGCAGGCCCACGCCCGCGAGGTGCAGTCCAAGGCCTGACGAGGGTTTTAGTTTCTAGTATATAGTGGCCATTGCCATTACGATTATGACGGCTTTTCGGGCTCCCCCCCCCTCCTTCTTCCTGTGAGCCTCCGCAGGCTCAGCAGCGGGTGTCACAGGGGCTCCGCCTCGCAGACTTGGGCTGCTGAGGCTGGGAGCTTGGGGCTTTGAACTGCTTTTGGGGGGTTTTTGGGGCTGATGCTGTTCGTTTTTTGCCGTGCTCCTCCAGGCACACTTCGGCCTCTGCTCCGTGCTCACATGGGCGTGGTAGAACTGCTGAGGTCGGCAGTGAGGTGCCACCTTGGGATGTTCCCCCTTATACTTCCTTAATAGGGATTCTATTATAGTACCCTTATTAGAATCCCTGTTAGGGCAGTTAGAAAAACGGGAACATCCCAAGGGCCACCCATGGTCGTTGGCAGAAAGTGTGACACTGGTTTGGGTGGACACGCTGAGGGCACTGTGTTCGCGCAGTATAGGCTGGTGCGGCCAGCGTTTCACACTCGGTCCCGTCATGTTGGGGTGACATGATGGAACCGATGGAACCGATGGAACCCGATGGAACCGATGGAACCGATCGAGCCCGCAACGACCAAATGCAGCGATCTTACAGGAGATTGGGGGTTTGCTAGAAGGTGACTTGTCCCAGACATCCTAGAATCCGAGACCCCTGAACTCCGAAATGCTCGTGGACCCGAAACCATATCCGGGAACTAGCAGTCCTTCATACATCCTCAACCTTCCGCCTAGGCGGGGCTGGGACTTTCAGGCGGACCACGAGGAGGAGTGGCTCGCGTTCGGTAGGTTGGCCTCCGTCTTTGGCGTGCAGGGGTTGCAACAAAGCCCTTCACGTCCTCGTGCCCTACGCTAGAAGCGGGGCCCTGGGCCCAGGAGCATGAGGACCTCACGATGCCGCTCTTCCCGAGCACGAAGCCGCCACCTGAGGTCTCTTTTTTTCAGCGGGCCGTGCGAGTTTGACACGGGAAGCGATGACTCTCAAGCGAATTCTGCCGTTGTGAGGATGAACATCCCAAAGACGCTGACGGAGGATGGCGCGTCTTTCATGCAAGCTTCGGGCTAGATTTCCGATATGCCGTGGGATAGTGAGAGTAACATGTCTACACTTCAAGAGAATTATAAAACCCTGCCAGTAGCACCCCCTTCGGAAAATGCAACCTGACCCTTCAGGAGAAGAACTTGGCTGAGCTTCTCTTCGACGACCAGGAGGAGCACTCCGGCCCATATGCCTGGATAGAGCACACGCCCTTGCCTCGGCGTTTCCCACCAAAAAAGCCCTAAACCCTAAGCCCTAAACTCTGAAGCCGTAAGCCTTAAACCCAGTTTGCGTGGGGGCGGGGGTGCCAGGGATGTCGGGATGTGGGCCGGGGAGGTGGGCGCAGACCGTGGTGGCCGCGGTCATCGTCCTGAACGCGGTGCTTTTTGGCCTGGCCCAGAGCACCGTGCCCCTTGAAGGCTCATGGCTACCTACCACAGGTTCCGAGCGAGGCAGCCCTTGTTCTCTGGCCTCACATCACATCGCATCAAGGTGCTTCTGGCCCTGCGTACACGGAACCCTCAACCCTCTGCTAAGGCCTGGAGTCCGACGTTCAATCGGGGCTCTGGGTGCGACTCTTGGAGCATCTTTGTGCGAAGAGATCCTCGTAGCTTAGGGGTGCTTTTTCTGCTAGGGTTCCACGTTCAGCATAGGTAGGTAGGCTTCCCAAAGCTTTGGCTGAAGGCTTTAGGGCTGAAAGCTTACCCTTCAGCCACTAGGACTCCAGTAAACGGTTCGTGTTCGCCGGTGCGAGTAGCTCTCGCTGAATTTATTCGGGTTTGTCAGGCTTGTGGGTTAAGGTTGCCAGGGTGCAGGGTCTAAGGTTTCGGGTTTAGGGAACAGAATATGGGCCCTCACGACTGTTTAGGGTACCCCAAAGAGAAGCCATAGTTTGAGCTTAACTCCTCCACATCCCCTCTTGGAAAGCCTTAATGCCCTCGAGACGACCGAAAACCCTTTTCCGATCTTAGAGAGCCCTTAGAACCATGAAGAGACCTCTAAGCCCGCTGTTAAAGAGCGCCTCTGAAGCCAACAAAAAGAACGAAGCCCCTCCAGCTTCGCTTGCAGGGGCCGATCGAGCACGTCATCCTCATCATCTTCGCAGCAGAGCACTGCTCTCGGCAGAGGGTTTAGAATGGTTTAGAAGGGTTTAAGGGTTCAGGGTTGAAGGGGATTTGTTATGAGGGTTTAAGGTTTAGGGTTTTAAGGGGTTTTGATAAGGGTTCGAAAACGGGGTTTTGGGGAGGTTTGTTAAGGTTCGGGCATTCCACGGGTTTCTTGGGTGTGTTGCGACCGCGACAGGCTACCGTAGGAATATCGGATTCACGAAACACGGAGGGCAAAGCCCCCCCGCCGGTTGATGTGAGGATTCAAGGGTCCTTCTAAAGTAGGGTTGTCAGCGAGGTTACTATCTCACCTTGCTTGCAACTTAGCAAGCTCACCGATGAAGAACCAAGCCCCGCTAAGCCCGACACCCTGGAATTCGTCTCGCCGAGGCAGGCGATCCGATTTGCCCGACGCGGGCCCAGCTTTTGGATGACACATATTGGGTCCACAGCATGCTTTGTCCACGAAGCCGGGAGTCCAAGGGATGGGGTCCAAAGGCCCAAAGAGCCGAGGAGCAGCCTCGTGCACGCTGAGGCTACAGGCTCTCCTACTTCAGCCGAGATCTGAGAGTCCCGGGGTCGGCCCGTCTCACCCAAAAGGGTGCCTGAAGCACCGAGAAGTACTTCGCCCATCTTGGTTCTTTGGTTTTGTTCCGAGGCTCTTGAGGCCAACATGCCAAGTTGAACTGTTTATGCCATTTTATGCCTACTGGCATCGCGTGCCTGTGCTAAAAGCAGTTTCTAGGGGGAGACGAGGCAGCGTGGGAAACTTGTTCGACCTCTTCATCGTGGCCTGTGGAGCCACGGACCTCTGGGTGCTGCGCTCAGCAAAGTCGGCAGCCCATAGGGCCCAATTCAAAGTGCTAAGAGTTTTGCGCCAAGCCCTGAAAAGGCGATGAAAACTCTAAACCTCCAAAATGTTCAGGGCGCAAGTCCCTTGATGACCGATGCTCGTCTCCTGCAGGCACTCGCAATGTAGGGCTCTGGGAGCACGTACCTGGTGGGAACGGCTTCTTGGGGTGCAGCTGCAGCATCAACACCACTAGGTCATGCCGCTGGTGAGCGTGCCTGGCGCCCAGCACCGGGTGTAAGACCCCCAGCAGACCAAACCCCCGCAACTTCAGACCTGCAGCCGCTGTGAGGCTCTCAGGCCAGAAGAGCTCCAAAAGCTCGGTGCTGCAAGTGATGCAGCTACTGCGCTTGTGGGGGGCCCCAGGCGGGTCCACTGGTTTCCGCCTTAGCTGGAGCACCCGGTCAAGGTTTATTCAGCAACCCCGTCCCCCCTAACATGAACGCGCTCCGCCACCAGGGAGCCCAGTGAGTACTTGTGAGTAGTTTGGGGAGAGCGTTATCCCAAGTGCACACCACAAGAATCGTCTGTGTGTGTGTGTGCGCGACAGTGAGAGTGAGAGTGAGAGTGAGTGAGTGTGTGAGTGAGTGAGTGAGTGAGTGAGTGTGTGAGTGAGTGAGTGAGTGAGTGAGTGAGTGTGTGTGTGTGGTAAGCGCAACCTCCAAGCCTGAACTTCTGAGTCGCGAAGTTTTCCAATCAAGGCGCTTGCCAAGCCCCGTTCCCAAGGCTGAGAATTGCCCGCCTCATCCGCATTGTGTGGGGGCTTAGCAGCCCTTTGGCCATGCGGCCTTGGGGGGAAGACCGCGGGGTTGAAGGGGCTCGGGCTTGGTGCAAGAATCCGGAGTGGGGTTCGCCTTTTTGGATGGGAGGGGATCATGTTCGATAGCGAGCTGCACGTCAAATCTCCCGCTTCTGGAGTTGAGATGGGGTAGCCGAGGCTTATCTTTGGGTTCAGAAAGAGCAAAGCTTACACATTTCCTGGAGGTGTATGAAGAGGGACCCACCCGAATATTCTGGCACTACCCTTGTTCCACCCGAGGTGAAGATCATCCCACCCCTCTACAGCCTTGCAGTGGGCATCGGCGAGGTGCAAAAACCGGGATGGAGGGTTTAGGGTTTAGGGTTTAGGGTTTAGGGTCTAGGGTTCACGGTACACGGTTTAGGGTTGAGGTAACCAGGTCTTCCCTAATGCTCCCTCGTATGCATGCCCAACCCTAAAGCCTCAAACAGGTCTCGAGCTCCCACCTGCAAACTCCCTGTGTGCCCCCTGGTTTCCGCTTTGAGGCACCTGTGGATTTCGGGCTTGGGGCTTAGGGTTGGACTGCGCTGTGGACTAACCCTCAAACCTTCACCCAAAAACCGAAAAACCCTAAGCAGTAAGCTCTAAACCCCCCCAAGCCGGACAGGCCCTGCAGGGCATGTTCTGGGCCCGGCGCCCCGGGGAATGGGGGGCCTGTCGGATGCGCGGGGAGGGGGTGTTCTTCAAATGAGTGTTCCTTTGAGGGTTGAGGGTTCAGCATTCAGAGTGGGAGGGTCTAGGGTCGCTTGCAGTCAGGCTTCTGTTTGGGTGTAAAGGCTTTGCGATGCTCGACCTTGAACCTCAATCCCAAGCCCTTAGGCTTTGATCCCACCCCCACCGGACACCTTAGCCTAGGTGCTGATCTTCCTCTTCATGCTGCTGTACGCCTGTGCCATTCTCACCGCCAGGCGCAGCTGGCGGGATTGAAAGGGCTAGGGTTGAGGGGCGGACGTTCTCACGGGGAATGGTGCAAGTTCCTCGCAGAAAGCGCGGGCGCTAGAAGATCCCAGAAATACGAATCGGCAGGCCGCTTAGCAACTAAAAATCAGCTGGGGCCTCCCTGACCCCACCACCCAGCGACGGAGACCTGCTAAAGCGCAAAAGTGTGCTTTCATGAACATAACTCACCTGCATCCAAAACCTCTCAACCCCAAACCCTGAAGCTTGAACAAAAACCTTCAGGTGCTTGGGCATGTCCGAGGACGAGATGTCCGAGCAAGGCCAGAGAGCTTCGAGACTAACCCTGGTTGTAGCTAAATTTGCGAAGTTCCCCGAGCCTGATAAGACCTTCTTGGGGCGGCTGGGTCCCCCGCTTCGGATGTCAACCACTCGTCGAGTTGTAGGCATTGTGGCCTTGTGGGGCTTCTTCGGGGTTTAGAGTTTAGTTTCGTTACGCCCCCTTGCAGGATCCAAAGCGGAAGAAGTCCGCGTGGCCCTGGCGTGTTGAAGAGCGCCCTGTCTCCCAAACCATCCCCAATGAGTGAAGCGCATTTTGGATCAAGTATCCCACAGCAAGCAGGAGGGCTCCCGTTTTAAGAGTTGGGGTTTGGGGTTGGGAAGGTTGCGGCATTCGTGCGTTTTGTGTTTGCGAAGCGTTCGTCAGCACTCGAAGCTTTTGGAAGTTCCGCAATCCAAAGGCCCAAAAGCCCTCGTGCCAGGTCATGTTCGATGGGGTGATGCCCAGCATGTTCACGCCGGATGTTCAGCCTGCCAGGATGTCTGCTGCTGCTTGCTGCTTCTAACTATTTTGTGCAGACTGTAGTGACTTGCGGTGTGTTTTGCATTGCGCTCCTGTCACTCATATGCGCATTCTGTCACGTGCTGCCATGACGGACAGGGACGCAGTGGCAAGAGAGCGCCTCCTCCCCTCGCAGAGCTCGCATGTTTGTGTTGCTCTCTCTGAGGCTCTTCGAGTCCATCACCTGCTGGAGTCTGATGGGGCGCGGCGCTGAGGGGCTGCGACGGCAGGGCTCTCCCAACAGAACCTGGGAGCCTGTGGAGCCTGCAGAATTCGAGGTTCACTCCCCTCTTCCGTGTGAGCCCCGGAAGCAGGCCTGGTGGGTGGGGGGTCAGATGGCTCGGACGTTTGATGTTTTTTAAGACGTGAATCGGCTTGCAATCATGGAGCTGGGGCGCAGATGGCTCAGTCCGAAGTCTCCAGCCTCCCAGCTCCCGAGCCCTGAATCTCTCAACCATCACTGAAGCCGAGCTTTGCGAGTGTGATTTGTGCAATCTTCTGTAGAATCCGCATTGGCTTGGTGGGCCGCCAACAGCAGCTCCATTTTTCGGGCTTGGGAGTTTGAACAGTTCTTTCCGCGTTCCTTTCGGGTGTCTGTAGCTGTGGACTCGCCCCGATCCCGATGCCTTCATCCCTAAACCCTAAGCCCTAAACCCTAAACCCTAAACCCTAAACCCTAAACCGCCCTAAACCCTAAACCCACAGGTTCGTGGCAGTGACTTTCTACATCTTTGCGGCGTGCGGCTCAGAGACCAGGGTGTTTTGCGAGGGATTCGGGGGCTTGCGTTTCGCAACGCCCGAAACCCTAAACCCTAAGCCCTAAGCCCTAAACCCTAAACCCTAAACCCATCTAAACCCTAAACCCTAAACCCTAAACCCTAAACCCTAAACCCTAAACCCTAAACCCTAAACCCTAAACCCTAAACCCTAAACCCTAAACCCCAGACCCCAGACCCTAGACCCTAGACCCTATAGACCCTAGACCCTAGACCCTAAACCCTAAACCCCCTAAACCCTAAACCCTCGGCGCGCGCTCAGAATTGGGGCCTCCTGGCGGTCATGACGGGCGTCGTCAGTGAGAAGATGATGGCCACCAAGGAGCCCAAGGGGTCTCCTTTCTGATGGGCTCCTATTTCTGGGGTTTAGGGTTTTGGGGGTTTAAGGGTTTAGAATTTATAAGGGTTTAGGGGTTTAAGGGTTTAAGGGTGTAGGCGTAGGCTTTGGGGTTTAAAGGGATCCATTTGTTGCAATGACTTGCAAGGAGAGACTCACGGCGCCTGCACCTCAGCGATCCGAAGCTTGAAGCTTTGAGGCTGTATAAGGAGGGTGCCCCCCCCATGTCAGGGAGACGGATGATGGGCCGCAGAAGCACGACCCTGGCAGCAGTCACATGGCGCAACTTGAAGGGGTGCGCCTACCTGTTTCGAGCCTGTGTGCTGTGCTGTAATATGCTGGAAGTTTCCGTGAATAGGTTTGCGTGCGTACATCATGCTACCATGCAGTGCCATGCTCTGTGTTGGAGCAGTGACTTTGGCCTACAGCCGTAGCAGTCGTCGACTCTTCCCAGGCATCCTTGAATCATGCCTCGCTCGGGCGCACGCACCTCCAGCAGCGGACCGAAGCGCTCTGCGCCGGCCGCGCAGGCGCCGCCGCCGGCCCAGCACCGTGCCCCGCCGCCCGCCGCCGCGCCTGCCGCAGCCCCTCCGGCAGTGGCCCCATCCGGTGGAGGCATGCTGTCGGGCCTCATGGGCTCCATGGCTTCGGGCATGGCCATGGGCACGGGCATGGCCGTGGCCAATCGTGCAGTGGATGCGGTGATGGGCCCGCGCCAAACAGAGGTGGTCCATCGCACAGAGGGCGCCCCCCCACAGGCCCAAGCCCAAGCCCAGAACTCGTGCCAGTTCCAGCAGGACCAGCTGGCACAGTGCATCAAGTCTTCGAGCGATGCCACCGCCTGCCAGTCCTACATGGATGCTCTGAAGGCATGCCAGCAGACAGCATGAGACCAAATGAGACTGAATGAGATCGCACGAAAGCTGATCGACGCCTCATGAGCAGGCCTTGTTGGCTGGGTTTCAGGTGGGGGCTTCTCAGCAACGACCTTTGCCGGATGAGTTTTGTCCCATGCTTTTGTCAAGTACAGACTGTGGCGATGAACAGAGAGAACGCCTGAAGCTGTTCAAAAAAGGGGCGCAGTGCAGAATCCAAGTCCGGCAGCCGCACTGAAAGAATGAATGGCATGTAGTGTGCGTGGATCTCTTTTTGCCCCTTGTGGGATGTGTTTGTTGGGATGTGCAGCTCTGGCTCAGGCTTCGTAGTAGGTGAGCAATCAATGATCACCAATGACATCCTGCACCGATTCCTCAGTCGGTGGTGCGACTTCTTCGGACTGAAATCGGAGCCCCCAATGCCCGGAACTCAGCAGCCTGCCCGCTGTGCCGTCTTGCTGGTCTTGGTGGCCAGCGTTCTCTGAGCCCATCGGGCCGACATTTCCCAACAACCCAGAAAAGGCAGCCTTTCTCAAACGCCCAATGCCCCTGGAAGCGCATGCTGTTTTTGGGTTGCGCCCCTCAAGCGTCTTGAGCCCCCCCAAACGGCCGCCCTCTGGGAGGGAGCTGGGGGTTAGTTGCTACTCATTTGCTTACTTGTATCATTTTTCTGCTGCTGCTCGTACCTTCCCGCCCTTCCCTCCCTTCCCCCCTCCCCTCCCTACTCGCCCCCCCCCCTCTCCCCTCAGGAAAGTTGTAGCAGAAGGTGAAGACGTGACTGGTTGGGAAGACCACAGTGTTCATATCAGCTGGGAAGGGCCAGAAGTTGAGAAGGATGCGGCAAACCAAAAATGTTCGGAAATGAAGCCAAATGTTGGCTGGTAAGCCCTCAGCCCTAAACTCCGAACGGAGATGTTGGGCGGCCAAGCCTAAGAGTGGAGATGTTGGGCGGCAGACGTACAACCCCCCCAACAAGAGCAGGTTGCAACTCAGCAAGGTGTTTAGCGACACCTGCGAGGGATCAGGCCGTTTTTTCAGCAACAAGAAGAAGCTACAACCAAACAGTTTCCATGAACGGAAACCCTTTAAACCTAACCCTAAACCCAAAACCCTGAACCCTAAACAGTTGCAAGTAAGCCGCAAAAGAAAGCGCTCCGTTACAAGACTGAGCAAGGTTCCCTCCGAGCATCCGAGATGGGGGGGATTATTGCGGTCTCTGAGCGCTAAAGCCCTAAACCCCCAAGAAACCCCTAAACTCCCTAAACCCTAAACCCTTTCCCTTAAAACCTTAAACCCCTAAACCCCTAAGCCCTAAACCCTGAAACCCTAAACCCCAAGTTCCCCCGCCGGAAGCTTCGGCCAGGTCGCTACACCACCTCGCTGAGCAGGACTCCGCATGTGGGTGTGTTGGGGTGTGAGGGGGGGGGGGTGGGTGGGGAGGGGGGGGGGGGTGGTTGTGTGTTTTAAGTTTAGGGTGCAAAGGGTTCAGGGTTTAGGGTTTGCGGTTTGGGGTTTAGGGTTTGGCACTTAGGGGTTCAGGGTTCAGGGTCGAGGGTTTAGAGTTCTCTTTTCTTCAGGGAATGTCTGTGAAGTTTCCTTAGGGAACACGAGGCCAAGAGCATCTCCCCCTTATTGGGCGCAAGAAGGGTTTCGAGCTTTCTCGGATCGCAAGGTCTCGATAGCGAACCCCCGAGGAGCTGGGCCTCTTTGCCCTTGTCTTCGCCTACCTCGATGGCCGCAGCTGTGCCCGGATAGCGGCGCTCTGTTGCTGGGCCAACCCTGCTGCGTTGCGAGCTTCGTTGGTGGGAGCCCCAAGACGTCCTAGGGCAGCTCACGTGGGGTCTTTGGGGTTTCGTGCAGGTTGCACCAGGTTGGGTGGTTGTCTCCAACTCTCGTGGCAGAGGTTTGCCGGGAATACCGGGCATAGCGGGGTATTCGGCATACTCTGTCAGGTTGCCGATGAAAAGTTCTGGTTGTTGCTTGGACCTATCGGCCCAGCGGCCCTGAATTTAGATGATGAACCCCACATGATCCCACATGTCTCCGCGACTTCACGAGCCACGATGCGGAGGAAAACATCAAGCTGAGACTGCGCAGTGCTGGGCTCCTTTTGTCCCGCTGGCAAGGTGGAAGGATCCTTGGCCAGTACTGTGGTCCAGTACCGTGTCATCTTTTGTCTATATGGGGGTTTACGAAAATAGGGGTGCCGAATATAGAGCCCCGGATAGTAGGATCCCCTTATGTATTACAGTAAGGACCCCAATAAGGCACCCCTAATTTCCATATAAAGCCCAACGGAAAAATCTCAAGCACATCCGTGTTCATATCCTGGGTCGTCGTGAGAAGCAGAGGGCCAACCTCATATTTGAGGGCTCTCAAGATGGCCCCCTTCTTGAAGTGTTCAAATAGTGCCGGATAATGGGGGCACCCCAGATAGGGACTGATCTGGCTTCTTCTGTGTTTATTCCCGCTGCTTGGCGCTTGCTTGTTTTGGAACGGCCTCCCTAAACCCTAAACCCTTCTCGCCCATGAATCTACACCAGTGGAAGGTATGACGGAACACCGTATCTGCAGCAGCACGACCTGGAAACCGCCTCGCGGCATTTCGCCGCCTTGCGTTCAGTAAGGGTTTAGGGATTATGGGCTTAGGGACAATGGGGTGCAGGGAAGCTTGGTACCTCAAGCAAATCAGCCTGCTAGGGTCCCCGAGTTTGAAGAGTTCTTGGCTTCCTTCTAAGCCTGAAATCCGGCAAACGCGTGCGCTTTGCTGCCCAGGCGACGATCGCAGGGCGATATTCGCTGCCTGAGCACCCCTGGCTGTCTTACTCTTGCAGTCTTGTCCCCTGAAACCTTCAGCCCTGAACCATTGGTGAGCAGCAGGCGGCTGCTTGCACTTAAGTTGCTTTAAGGATGGGCTTTCTTCTTCAGCCCTGAAGGCAGGAGAGCTCGGAGCAAGATGCAAGCAAACCAAGCAGAGACTGCCACGAGAAGGAAAGACAACTATCCAAAAAAACAAGGCGGCACGAGTAGCTGAAGGCAAGCAGAGACGAGTACATCCTTGTTTTGTTGCATCATCCGTACCATCCGCTTTCTGATGCCATAACGTTGCGACCATGCTGTTGCCTCATACAAGCCCAAGAGCCGACTCGCCACTTGCAACATGGCTTCTCAGCAAAAATCATAGTTGTTTTCCCTCATCATCATCGTTTGTCTCTTGTCATGACTACCATGAAGTATGTCCTCCCTGATTAGATCCCGGAGCGCTTGAAATACAGCTGCGAAGACCTTCTAGGACAGCCCTTTGAGGAGTTCTCCTGCTTCAGGTACGATTGCACCCTAGACATACAGCCCGACGGCTCCTTTCGCAACTACGGCTCCCAGCACGAGATGGTCGGTCAAGCGACCATCGCCGGTGTGCTGCCGCCGGGCCAAATATCGAAGCTTTTTCAGAGTCTCGCACATCGGGCTCTTGCATCGCCAAGGTGAATGTTATGAGTGATGAGTATGTTGGTAAGTTGTTATATTGCTTATCATCATGGCTGTGGCTATGCTTTTGGATTATAATTATGAGGATGTAGTGTTACTATCAGCAGCATGATTCATTGCATCGTTGTCATTGTCATTGTTATTGTTACGGTTCGTTTTGCCATATGTGTTATTTTGGTCCTTGCTACTGTGATGATGGTCATAATAACAACAGCAACAGCAACTATACTACTGCTGCTTCTAGTCAACATCTTCGCGGTAGTATAGTGATGATGGTGATGCCGATGACGGTGGTCGTGATGATGATCAGCATCGTTCTTGCTATGATTCCTACGACGGTTAATCTACTATTGTCTGACAGTATTGCGCTCCAGGTTCTGTTCTGTTCTTGCACCCCAGGCATGAAGCCCTGAAACCCTAAGCCTCAGGCCCTGAGGCGCTGCAACCCTCAACCCCAGGCCTTGAGGCCCAGAAACCCTGAAACCCTTAACCCCAGGCGCGCTGGCCGTGTACCTGCGTCCTCCATGGCCGACGTGCCGGAGGGAATGCAGGTCTGTTCCTTCCGTGGCAGCTTACGGGTTCGGGGGGGGGGGGGGTCTCGAGAGGGGTTGAGATGTGTTGGGGTTTCGAGGCTTTTTGGTTCTTTCTGTTTGGGAGGGCTTTGAAATTTAGGAGTTCAGGGTGTTTCTTTATTTGGTGAAGAAAGCGGCATGAAGCCGAAGACGATCGGAGGCCGCAGAGAATTTGAGGCCTCACCCCTAAACCCTAAACCCGACACCCTAAGCCCAAATCGGTGGGGCCCAAAGTTCACGGGTTGACGCGCATGCATCATCTGGATGTCCGAGGCTACATCTGCGAGTTGGACAGGTGGTACATCCGCACTATGATGGACGGGAAGGAGACCACGGCCAAAATCCGAACAGCGAGCTGAGAAACACATGCTCTGACAGCCCTTCTCCATTGGAAACAGCTACCATTTTTTTCCCTACTGAGGGTGTCACCACCACGAAATTCGGTTAGACTTGAGGCCAAGGATCACCCTCAACCCCTTCCCCTCAAAGCCGGCAGGTGCATTTCAAGCATTTCCCTGTTGATTTTTGTTCAGAATTGTCGTTTCTGGTGTTTTGGGTGCAGTGTTGGCTTTTTGGGGGTGTTGCAAACCCTCAAGCCCTCAAGCCCTCAACTCTCCAGCCCTTCAACTCCTCAAGCCCTCAGAGCCAGGAGATGACCCCGGAAGATCTGGAGTTCACCGGGCCTGGCTACCAGACCTACTCGGTGCTCGGTGTTTTTTGTGTGCTGTGGGATTGAGGGGTCAAAGTGGGGGTTCGCCCCCCCTCTGGGATCTGCGGCACCTTCCAAAGGGTTCCAGTTGCAGGGGCGTGCGGGGTTTTGTGTTCTTGGCTCAGCTGCTCAGCCCCCAGATGTTTTGAGGGACTGGATGGGTCAGGGGCAGTTCCACCTCTTGGGATCTCAGGGTTTGGCGCAAACGCCGGTCTTGCCTTTACCTGTTGCTGCCGAAATCTGACACCTGCGCCTTCTGAGCATGTATCTATGGACCCCAAAACAGCCGAGGTGCATGCCTGGCTCGAGCCCCTTCCGGGCAGCACCTTCGCCGACGGCGCCTTTATGGAGAACCGTCCGAGACCAACTGCCCAAGACGCTCGGAGCGGTTTTGGAAGAGGGAAGGGGGGGGGGGTTGCTCTCCCGGTCAAAGAGATGCGGTCGTTGTGTGCTTTGAGGTTTATGGGTTGATTGCATTTTATGTCCCTCTTTCTCCAAGGACGGGTGGATGCTTGAGGATAACCCCCTTCGCCACCCTTGGCACCGCTCCATGCCGTGGCCGGAGCTCCAGAAACTCCTCCGTAGCTCGGCACTGGAGACTTCTGCTTAGGCCTTTGGGGCAGTCCCAAAAGTGGACTGCCCCGGCGAAGGTCTCCGAATCCTTTCTTCGGCCCTTTTGTGATGGCTTCGACATATGGTTTAAAAGACCAGTCGTCAGACGTCAGACTCTGACACCCCACTTCCTGTCTCATAGGAGACAGCAAAGACGGGCCGCACAAACCGTGCTGAGAAGCCAGGCGCCCCGAAGTGCAGTCGCGACTGCAGCCAAAAAGTCGCGGCACACCTCTCCAAGAGGTTGACCAAAGACCACAATCCAGACCCTAAGCCCTAAGCCCTAAGCCCTAAGCCCTAAGCCCTAAGCCCTAAGCCCTAAGCCCTAAGCCCTAAACCCTAAACCCTAAACCCTAAACCCTCTAGTCGCTCATTTTGCCAGGTACTGATGGACTTCTTCCGGCGTGTCCGGGGCCCAGGTGGCAGCGGGTCGCGAACCCGACCAAAAAGTGAAAACCCTAATTCCCCAACCACTGACCCTAAACCCTAAACCCTAAACCTCTCTATCATAATGAATTTAAACCCTAATTCAAAAGTGGGCGACGGTGATTTTCGGCCTCAAAAGTGGGCAATGGTGATTTTCCTTTTCCCCGAGTTTTTTCAAGGTTTTTCAAGTTTTTCAGGGAAAGTTTGCCTCCAAAAACACCCCAAATGCGGGGGACCCCAGGATCGGCCCGGGTCCCAGTTAAAAATGCGATTTTTTAGTACTGAAATCGGCGGTTCTGGGTGGCTCTCGTCTTCTGGATTTTTGACCAAAACCGAGCCTTCACCGACAGGGGCTTCTAAACCGTAGGGTTTAGGGCCCGAAGAGCATAAAGGGCCTATTGTGGGCCTTAGATTAGATTTCGGGTTTTGGGTCCGTTAAAAACCAAAATATTTTTCTAATCTTATGGGATCCAAAGGGTGGGTGGGTATATATTCGATACCAGAGTAGCAAGCTTGACTAGTGAATGCTTGAACTGGAGATGCTGAACCCTAAACCCTAAACCCTAAACCCTAAACCCTAAACCCTAAACCCTAAACCCTAAACCCTAAACCCTAAGCCCCAAGCCCCAAAACCCTAAACCCTAAACCCCAAATCATAGTTCCAAACCCTAAGCCCTAGCTCTAAACCCTAAGCCCCTAGTTCCCCAGACCCCCTCAACCCTAAAGCCCTAAACCCTAAACCCTAAACCCTAAACCCTAAACCCTAAACCCCAAACCCTAAACCCTAAACCCTAAACCTTCCACCCAGCTGTGCAGCTCGAGGCAGACACCGATGGCTCCGGGGAGGTCTCTAAGGATGAGCCGCGCGGCTTGAGTTAGTGTTTAGGGTTTAGGATTTGGGGTTTTAAACATTAGGATTTAGGGTTTAGGGTTTAAGGTTTAGGGTTTAGGGTTTGGGGTTTAGGGTTTAGGATTTGGTTTAGGGTTTGGGGGTTTTGAGGAGGCATCTTTTTTTGGAAGCTTAGGAGTTCTTCTTTTCGAGGAGCCAGAAGTGGCTTCTAGTTTCAAGGTGCTTGAGGTTCCAGGGACCATCAGGGACCTCAGGGGTAGGTGGCTGGAGCCTTTGAGCGATGCTCCTCCGGCGCTTGTGCTGCGCAAGGTTTAACAACATGCTGATGTGCACCGATATCATGAAGACAGTTATGGAGGAGTCCTCCATCGATGCTCAGGAGACTCTATTGCCTTGAAAGCCCTGCGCGTTCCCGAAACCCGAAATCACCCGAGCTCCTATAGGACCTGGGCGAGCTTTTCGAGTGGCTGGACGGTGACAAGGAGGGGCAGTTGCTCTGAGAAGGATGGAGGAAGACTGCCCACCCTTGCTGCTGCTGTTTGCAAGTTTGATCGCAACGTGGTCTGATTTTAGCTGCTACGAATCACCCCTCCCCCACCTGGGTTGCTCGATTCTCCGAATGCCGATGTCGGTGCGACTTCGCTCAGCTCGAACCATGAGCACCTTTGGGGCTCTACATTTTCTATTCCGAGTCCCATGGGCAAATTATAGCTTAGGCTGCCAAAACTACCCGGTTTTGGCAAGGAGAGCCATCAGCTAGAGCAAGGGCATGTGATGCTGACAATGCTCGCTTCGGCAGAGCCGAGATTGCTGAAGCAGGCGTTGCACAAGGGCATGATGCTCGCGTTCGTGTCCCACGCGTGAGCTGCAAAATCTGCGCAGCAGCCCTCCCCTCAGGGAGGCTACCCCACGAAAGCTCCCTTTCGTGGCGGGGCTCAAGGCAGCTGATGCTCATGATGCTCGCTCTCGTGGGGCGGCTTCACTTTGCCCGAAGGCTGCTGATGCACATGCTGCTCGCTTTCGTGGCGGGGCTCAAGGCAGCTGATGCTCATGATGCCTTCTCTCGTGGGGCGGCTTCACTTTGCCCGAAGGCTGCTGATGCGCATGATGCTCGCGTTCGTGGCGGGGCTCAAGGCAGCTGATGCTCATGATGCTCGCTTTCGTGGGGTGGCTTCACTTTGCCCGAAGGCTGCTGATGCGCATGATGCTCGCTTTCGTGGCGGGGCTCAAGGCAGCTGATGCTCATGATGCTCGCTCTCGTGGGGTGGCTTCACTTTGCCCGAAGGCTGCTGATGCGCATGATGCTCGCTTTCGTGGCGGGGCTCAAGGCAGCTGATGCTCATGATGCTCGGACTCGTGGGGTGGCTTCACTTTGCCTGAAGGCTGCTGATGCGCATGATGCTCGCTTTCGTGTTTCGTGGCGGGGCTCAAGGCAGCTGATGCTCATGATGCTCGGACTCGTGGGGTGGCTTCACTTTGCCCGAAGGCTGCTGATGCGCATGATGCTCGCTTTCGTGGCGGGGCTCAAGGCAGCTGATGCTCATGATGCTCGCTCTCGTGGCTTCACTTTGCCCGAAGGCTGCTGATGCGCATGATGCTCGCTTTCGTGGCGGGGCTCAAGGCAGCTGATGCTCATGATGCTCGGACTCGTGGGGTGGCTTCACTTGCCCGAAGGCTGCTGATGCGCATGATGCTCGCTTTCGTGGCGGGGCTCAAGGCAGCTGATGCTCATGATGCTCGCTCTCGTGGGGTGGCTTCACTTTGCCCGAAGGCTGCTGATGCGCATGATGCTCGCTTTCGTGGCGGGGCTCAAGGCAGCTGATGCTCATGATGCTCGCTGTCGTGGGGTGGCTTCACTTGCCCGAAGGCTGCTGATGCGCATGATGCTCGCTTTCGTGGCGGGGCTCAAGGCAGCTGATGCTCATGATGCTCGGACTCGTGGGGTGGCTTCACTTTGCCTGAAGGCTGCTGATGCGCATGATGCTCGCTTTCGTGTTTCGTGGCGGGGCTCAAGGCAGCTGATGCTCATGATGCTCGGACTCGTGGGGTGGCTTCACTTTGCCCGAAGGCTGCTGATGCGCATGATGCTCGCTTTCGTGGCGGGGCTCAAGGCAGCTGATGCTCATGATGCTCGCTCTCGTGGCTTCACTTTGCCCGAAGGCTGCTGATGCGCATGATGCTCGCTTTCGTGGCGGGGCTCAAGGCAGCTGATGCTCATGATGCTCGGACTCGTGGGGTGGCTTCACTTGCCCGAAGGCTGCTGATGCGCATGATGCTCGCTTTCGTGGCGGGGCTCAAGGCAGCTGATGCTCATGATGCTCGCTCTCGTGGGGTGGCTTCACTTTGCCTGAAGGCTGCTGATGCGCATGATGCGCATGATGCTCGCTTTCGTGGCGGGGCTCAAGGCAGCTGATGCTCATGATGCTCGCTGTCGTGGGGTGGCTTCACTTGCCCGAAGGCTGCTGATGCGCATGATGCTCGCTTTCGTGGCGGGGCTCAAGGCAGCTGATGCTCATGATGTTTCCTTTCGTGGGGTGGCTTTGGTTGCTTTTGGGCTGCTGATGCGCATGATGCGCATGATGCTCGCTTTCGTGGCGGGGCTCAAGGCAGCTGATGCTCATGATGCTCGCTCTCGTGGGGTGGCTGCACTTTGCCCGAAGGCTGCTGATGCGCATGATGCTCGCTTTCGTGGCGGGGCTCAAGGCAGCTGATGCTCATGATGCTCGCTCTCGTGGGGTGGCTTCTCTTTGCCTGAAGGCTGCTGATGCGCATGATGCTCGCTTTCGTGGCGGGGCTCAAGGCAGCTGATGCTCATGATGCTCGCTCTCGTGGGGCAGCTTCACTTGCCCGAAGGCGGCTGATGCTCATGATGCTCGCTCTCGTGGGGTGGCTTCACTTTGCCCGAAGGCTGCTGATGCACATGCTGCTCGCTTTCGTGGCGGGGCTCAAGGCAGCTGATGCTCATGATGCTGGCTCTCGCGGGGTGGCTTCACTTGCCCGAAGGCTGCTGATGCTCATGATGCCGGCTTTCGTGGCGGGGCTCAAGGCAGCTGATGCTCATGATGCTCGCTCTCGTGGGGCGGCTTCACTTGCCCGAAGGCTGCTGATGCGCATGATGCTCGCTTTGGTGGCGGGGCTCAAGGCAGCTGATGCTCATGATGCTCGCTCTCGTGGGGTGGCTTCACTTGCCCGAAGGCTGCTGATGCGCATGATGCCGGCTTTCGTGGCGGGGCTCAAGGCAGCTGATGCTCATGATGCTAGCTCTCGTGGGGCGGCTTCACTTGCCCGAAGGCTGCTGATGCACATGCTGCTCGCTTTCGTGGCGGGGCTCAAGGCAGCTGATGCTCATGATGCTCGCTCTCGTGGGGCAGCTTCGCTTTGCGCGAAGGCTGCTGATGCGCATGATGCTCGCTTTCGTGGCGGGGCTCAAGGCAGCTGATGCTCATGATGCTCGCTCTCGAGGGGTGGCTTCACTTTGCCCGAAGGCTGCAGCTGATGCTCATGATGCTCGCTCTCGTGGGGTGGCTTCACTGCCCGAAGGCAGCTGATGCTCATGATGCTCGCTTTCGTGGGGTGGCTTCACTTGCCCGAAGGCGGCTGATGCTCATGATGCTCGCTCTCGTGGGGTGGCTTCACTTGCCCGAGACCTCCTGATGCGCATGCTGCTCGCTTTCGTGGCGGGGCTCAAGGCAGCTGATGCTCATGATGCTCGCTCTCGTGGGGCGGCTTCACTTTGCCCGAAGGCTGCTGATGCGCATGATGCTCGCTTTCGTGGCGGGGCTCAAGGCAGCTGATGCTCATGATGCTCGCTCTCGTGGGGCGGCTTCACTTGCCCGAAGGCTGCTGATGCACATGCTGCTCGCTTTCGTGGCGGGGCTCAAGGCAGCTGATGCTCATGATGCTCGCTCTCGTGGGGTGGTTTCACTTGCCCGAAGGCTGCTGATGCGCATGATGCTCGCTTTCGTGGCGGGGCTCAAGGCAGCTGATGCTCATGATGTTCCCTTTCGTGGGGTGGCTTTGGTTGCTTTTGGGCTGCTGATGCGCATGATGCGCATGATGCTCGCTTTCGTGGCGGGGCTCAAGGCAGCTGATACTCATGATGCTCGCTCTCGTGGGGCTTCACTTTGCCCGAAGGCTGCATGATGGGCATGCTGCTCGCTGTCGTGGCGGGGCTCAAGGCGGCTGATGCTCATGATGCTCGCTCTCGTGGGGTGGCTTCACTTGCCCGAAGGCTGCTGATGCGCATGATGCTCGCTTCGTGGCGGGGCTCAGGGCAGCTGATGCTCATGATGCTCGCTCTCGTGGGGTGGCTTCACTTGCCCGAAGGCTGCTGATGCTCATGATGCCGGCTTTCGTGGCGGGGCTCAAGGCAGCTATGCTCATGATGCTCGCTCTCGTGGGGTGGCTTCATTTGCCCGAAGGCTGCTGATGCGCATGATGCTCGCTTTGGTGGCGGGGCTCAAGGCAGCTGATGCTCATGATGCTCGCTCTCGTGGGGTGGCTTCACTTGCCCGAAGGCTGCTGATGGCTGCTGATGCGCATGATGGCGTGGCGGGGCTCAAGGCCGCGCAATGTGCACCGCCCCACCCCCACCAACATGGGCCCCACCCGCGCGCGGGGCGCACTCTGCGAATGCTCAGGCTGAGGCATGAAGTTCTGATGGTATGCTGATGATGTTTGGGTGGCATGATGGTTTTCCGATGCTCAGGGTGATGAAAGTCTCATGGCGGAAATGTCATGAAATGATCACATCTTGATGTTTTAGTTTTGTTTTTTCAAGCATTCCAACCCGTGGCCCCGTAAGACTCTTCTAACCCTAACCCCTAAGCTGTCGCAGGATGGCCTGGTGAACATCGAGGAGTTTCTGCGGGGCTTCCGGTGGCTCGTGGTGTGTGGCCCAGACGCGAGTTTGGGGAAACCTCGGATGCTAGGATGCCCAGTAGTGGCTTCACTTCCTGTCGATGATTTTAGGTTTTTCTTGGTACCTTTTTTTAGCCGCATTTGACCCCCAAAAATGTATACACATATACTAGACGTTTCTTTTTTGTCTGCTTTTTTTTTTTTTTTCTCTCTCTCTCTCCCTTTCTCATTTTTAGTTTGATCGCTCTCTCTCTCCCTCTCTCTTCATGTTTTCTCTCTGGGGAACCGTCAAATCACTTGCAAGCCAAACAAAGCCTGGGACCCAAATCGTGCACCAACGGCCCCTTAAAACCTTGAAACTCATCCTGGACCCTGAAACCCTAGAACCCTAGACCCATCGTTGACCTGAAACCCTGAAACCCTGAAACCCTGGAACCCTGAAACCCTGAAACCCTGAAACCCTGAAACCCTGAAACCCTGAAACCCTGAAACCCTGAAACCCTGAAACCCTGAAGCCCTAAAACCCTGTACCCCCCCAAGCCCTAAGACTTCACACCCCCCTCCCCCACCCCCCCCCCCAAATCCCCGCCCCAAACCTCCCCTTTCCGAGGCCACCGTGGACCCCAAGGGCCTCCTGAAGCTAGAAGAGGCCTCTCCCCACTCTACGCGTTCGTCGCGACGGTTCAGGGGCTTACAGGGCTTGCACGCGTATGGGGCTTGTGGGGTTTACAGGTCTAAGCGGTTCGGAGGTTTAAGTGTTTCGGGTTCGGGGTTTTGAGGCCTCAGCCGTTGCGGTGGTATGGGCTTCGGGCTGAGGCTTAGGGTGTCGCCTTTGCGCGTTGGATGCTATCGACTTTTCCAGTCTTTAGATCTTTCTCCAAAGCAGGAGGACATGCCAATGAGACTGTGATTGATGGCTTCTTAAACCACCGTTTTGGCGAGGTTAGGGTGTTAGGCACCCTAACCCTAAACCCTAAAGGTAAAACGGGGGTGTGGGACTGTAGAGGTTTTGTGGCGTTTCCAATCGACAGCGTCTTGGGCTTCGGTTCTAATGAAACCAATTTGAATAGCAACAGGTACCCTTAGACCCTCGACCCTCAACCTTATCAGTCCTAACCTAGCCCTCACCTGAAACTCTAAACATGAAACCTGAAACTCCTAAACGTTCAAGACCCCAAAATCCCGACAGCAGAGCCCCTAAGGAAACCCTAAACCCTGAACCCTAAACCCTAAACCCTAAACCCGAAACCCTAAATCCTAAGGCCAAAACCTTGAAGCCAGATGCAACCCTAAACTGAAAGCCAGGAGCTGGCGGGCGACTTCCATCGGCTCACGAGGTGTCGAGACGACATGAGCCAAGCCCGAAGCCCACGTTTACCTTATGGTTGGTGGTTAGGGTGTCTAGGGTGTAGGATTCATAGGGTTAGGGATTGAGGGGTTGAGGGGTTTAGGGAAAAAACGACTGAATACATTTCCATTGCCTTCGTTGCCAACAAAGCCTTCGTTCCCAACGAAGCCAAGGATTTTTTGAATGATTCCCAGCCAATTGCGCGTGACGCCCCGGAGAAACGGAATTCTCGAAGCCCCGGTTCAGGGGTTCAGGGGTTACGTTTGGCCCAGAGTGGGGGGAGGCGCCATGGGGAGGCACCACAACCCCATGGTCGTGGTTTGATAGTGCAACAGCAAGGTACAGGGGAATTCCGGAGCTGGGGCATGATCTCAGACTTCGTGCCCGGGGGTTTACGGGGGTGGCAGACCTCTCCCTCCGGAAGCTTCGGAGAGGCGGATGGTTCTGCATGTGAACCATTGCTTCGACCAGCTCCTGGAGTCCGTGACTGTCCGCTGGCTCAGGGCTTTTTTTTGGGGGGGCTCCTCCGAAACCTCCCCGCCCCTTTTGGGGGGGTTTGTGTGTCAGTATGGTTCTGTGTGGTTCTTGAAAGTCTTATAAGGTTCTTACGTCTTCTTTTCGTAGAGAACCTGGGCTATATGGATCCCAGAGATCTACGTGGGAGGAAGCGTGTGGCCGCACTGAGGTCCCCCTGAAGAAGATCAGCGCCGTGGCGGCCTCAGCCGGTCGGGAAATCGTCCCGCAGGGCCCTTCATGGCCGCAGAATGCTGTGGTTCTGAGATCACGGAGCAGATCCAGCGCATGGATCGCCTCATCAGCTCCCTTCAGAAGAGCCCAGACGAGGCCGGGTGTTGAGCTCGGGTGCATGAACTTCGCAGTACTTCGCTTGTACCCGTGGGTCGAAAGTGGAACGATAGTAACCACTCAGCTACCCACTGCCCAGATGGACGGCAAAGCTGCGTGCCCCTGACTCAGCTGTAGAAGCTGCTTCGAGAGGATGCCCCAATTTCACTGGGGATTTCCCAAAGCTGCCCCGACAGGCAAGGGGGGTACCCTCAAGAATCTAAGACTCAGTAGTAGTGGGGTTAGTAGGGCAATATTTGGGGCTATTCCTGTGGGGGGACGTTCTTGCGGCCATCAGTCGGCGGAGTGTGAGGGCATCGCTCTGTTGCTCTGGAGCACCATTGCGGCCCCACTAGCCCCCTCCCCCCACAGCCCTTGAACCCTAAACTTCTCAAAGCCCTGAAGCCCAAAGCTTTACCGTCAGCCCAAATGCCCCAAAGCTCCCAAAGCCCTGAAACCGCCCCAATTCCAAGCCCTCAACCCGAAACTCCCAGAAAACCAAGTGCCCAGGGGCCAGCCTCGATGTCGTGGAGGGGCGCCTGGGTACTCGTCTGGCCTGGGTCTTGGTGGGAAGTTGAGGGCTCGGGGGTTTAGAGTTGAGGATAGTTTGGGTTTAGGGTTCAACCTGCCGCTGCCGCGCTTGACGTGGCCTTGTGCTGACCCATTGCATACGAGGGCATCCAATGGAGATCTTTCTGGGCCGTGGGAATCGAGACCTCGCTCGCCATGCGTGGAACACATGGACGGCGGTGCTGGACACAGAGCGGCCATGACTGCTATGATTTCATGGTGCCGGGATATTCGTTTGTTTCTTACTTGCCTTGCACCAGCAACCTCCAAAACTACCTTGACTCCTCCCGTGCCAGCCAGCACAGTGTTGCCAGTACTTCCAGAGACTCTGCCTCCCAAACGCTTTCTTGGAGCCGCGTGCGACCTACGATTCCGGCAGTGTTTAGTCGCGCAGATGGCAGGCTTGACAGCGTCAAGGATAGTTTTGAAAGCATAGCAGGCGTTAGCCGTTAGCAGGCGTGAGTGAAACGCTACTTCCGCATCCAGGGTATTAGGGTTCAGGATGTAGTTAGAGTTTATGTTTCAGCGTTCAAGATTTAGGGGTTTAGGGTTTAGTGTTTTGGTGTTTAGGGTATAGTCGGTATTTATAGGGCTTGGGGGATTTCAGGTTTCTTGGATGAGGGTTCAGGCTTATCAGATTCCGGGTTCAGAGTTCGCAGTAGATTCCGGGTTCTGAGTTCACAGTAGCCCCGTGTTCCACTCTTCTCTTTGGCGGAAGAAGGGGTGCCCTCGATTTGGGAAGGGCCCTCGAGTGTTTGGATCCAGGATTCGCTGGCAACAGCCGTGGAGAAGCTCGCAGAGCTGGAGGCAACGATCCCTTGGAGTGCAGATTTGCATGGAAAGGAGGGGGGGGGCTTTGGCTTTGGCCCGCAAAACCCTTCTAAGCCCCTCGCAGGGCTTCTGCACAGATTTCAGGAGGAGCCCGATCGAGTGCACAGGGAAAGCTTGAAGACTGACTTGGCTAGCTTTAGGGTCGCTGACGCCAACTCTGGAGTCCCGACATGTTGGAAAATGGTTTTTGAACGTTTTGGTGGGGTAACGGGGCGTAAGAGATCTCATTGCTGATGGTGATGGCGACGGCTGCGACGAGGATGACGCTGACGATGATGATGATCATCATGGAGTTTCGCTTCATTTTCACTAAAGGTTGGGGATGGCATTCGCGGTATTCGAGGCTTTTGAAGTTCGAGACTTACTCAGTCTTTCTTGGAAGCCCATTGACTACAATCGCCTGAGCAGGTATATACGTATTCAACGCAAAACATTTCGGCCGGGCCCGATGCCAGCCATCCCAGCAGACGCCAAGCATCCGAAGCGAAAGGGTCATAGGCACGGTACGATTGACAAGGCTCTGGGTAATGTCCGCGGTTTCCGTACAGAATACTCGGACCCACATAAGCAGCGAGTGTTCCGAAGCCACCAAAATCTGAGTTCGCGGGGGGGGGGGGGGTTTGGAAGAACCATCCCCAGTTTCGAGGTGCAGGGACTCAAAAATCGGGATCCTGCTCGTGAGATTTTCAGTTTCCAAACACAACCCTAAACGAAACCCGAAAATTCCGAAAACTCCGAAGAACACCGAGTTAAACCCCTAAACCCCTACACCCCTAAACCCCTAAACCCTCCCTAAATCCGGGGGGGCAGGCGAGTGGCCTGGTGAAGCTGAGCGAGGACGCCCAGCTGGAGGTCGACCTGGAGGTGGCCGGGAGCTCAGGATGATTGGGGGGAGGAAAGAGGGGGGGGGGGGGGGGGGGGGGTTGGGGGGAGGAAAGAGGGGGGGGGAAGGGGGAGGGGGGTGCCCCCCCCCCCTCTTTCGGTGCCTTTTGGTTCTTTGTTTTTTGGTTTTTTGGTGTGCCCCTCTTGTCGGGGCCCCCTTTTTTTTTTCTTTCGGGGGAGCGAGCTTGCGGGCCGCCAAGATTTGAGCTTTGAGAGCGCTTTGTTTCCGCTCCTTTGGGAGGAACTGAGTAACCGACCTATGTGAACCTTGACACCCGATCCCAGCCTAGTGCCCTTGCTCTAAGGCTTGCGCCCCCAGACCCTGAACGCGAAAACTGTCGAAACCTAAACCCTCGACCCCCCCCCGAAGCCCCAAATCCCCAAGCCCCGGAGCCTCAACGCGCCGGGCAGGATTTCAGCAGCTCCCTGTTGCTCCAAAGTCGGAGCCTGCCAGCGACTTGTGGGTCTGGGAGTTTTGGGCCTGTCAGGGGAGGTGCGTGTTGATAGCTTTAGGGGCTGTAAGGGCGTTTCGAGTTCTGGACTTCAGGCTTTGGAGTTGGTTTTGGGGAGTTTGGTCCTGTCGTGTTCCAGACCAGCCGCTGCAAAGCATTAATAACCCATCTGGCGCCCTCAGTCTCTCACCGACTTCCCCCCCCCCCCCCCCCCCCCTCCCCTAAATGGCTTTGTGTCACATGGATGTGCTCTCAGCTCCCTCACCTATCCCAACCGGAGGCCCATGTGGCGAGCCAATGCAACCGACCGGGCAGCAAGCCTGCAAAGCTTGGAAGAGGACGACTCGTTGCAAGAGGCCGGCAGGGGCACGCAGAAAGCTGTGGCTCTAGAGCGCGGGGTGGAGAAGCTGGGGAAAGACCCCAGCTCTTGGGAAAGTTGTTGTTTGTTTTCCCAGAAAAACTTAGCCACCCCCATGTGCAGACCTTTCGGGCGTATGCTATCTTGGGACTATAGGTGCTTGGGCTTGGACACTTGCAGAGGTCAGCCCCAGGCTTGATGATAACCTTAGAGGGACCTTAGGATCTGTGGAGCCCTGATGCCCTGAACCTCCTAAGCGGGAAGGACCTTATCTTCTTCGAGCCTGCGCTGGAGACTCTCAGCGACATGGCCAACGACGACGACGAGCTGCCCAAAGGCCCTTGCTTTGGCTGTGCTCTTTCGAGAAGTCAAGGCACCAGGAATAGCTCTATTTTCACCCGACTCATGGCGTGGCAGGCATCAGCAAGGCGCCGCGCCTGGCTCTAAGAAATGGGCGTTGAGGATGCGGGTTGGTGGGGGGGACTTAGCTAAGTTTGGGGGCCCTTTCTTTGGCACCCAGGCCCTACGTAACCAAGAACGTAGGTCGGAACAGGGCCCATCGTTGAGATCGCCGTTGTTGCGCTGGGGTTGGGAGTCCAAAAGCCCCCCATCGCTGTAAACCTGTACATTCTGAATGAGGAGTCCCAGGCTGCTTCCAGACGCTGAGCACCCGGAACCCCCCTGAATCCCCGAAAGAACCGACGATGCCTTTGAGGCGAGCCCTTCCCGAACATCGGGGGCACGGGCCGCCGCGGCTGGCAAGTCTGAGGGTTTGGGGGGGTTTAGGGGGTTTGGGGGGTTTGGGGGGTTTTAGGGGATGTAGAGCCTGTATGTACATAGGGCTTCAGGTGTGTTTTTCCCCCTCAAGCGGGGATGGCAAAGGCCAGGGCAGCGCTGATAACGAGCCGGTCGAGCCCGCATCGCGGGCGTGCGGCGGCCTGCGTTAATGCTGAGCATGGGCCCAAAGAGGGCCCTGCTGTCATCCGGTTGGAGTCGCGTAAAGCACATGGCCGTTGATCAATGTAAGATACCTATTCAAAAATGCACCCTGCATACGTATATGTCCCTCATGTCAACCCATAGGAAACTGCCAGAAACCTAGATGGTTTCTCCAGAAACAGCCCACGTGACTTCAAAAAGGTCCGGGGTCGAAGACCGACCCATGCGGGCTAAGTCTGGTGCGCTCCACAAAAGGTCGTGTCGCAAAGGGGCCTTTGCCTGGTCCCTAAACCCCATAAGGCACCCCGAAACTTCCGGCAGTTTGCCGAGATTTCGGGCGGTAAGGGCTTGGGGCTTGGAGAGGTTCCTCAACAGCTTAAATGAAGAATTGCTTCAGCCTTTGCTGCAAATCCCAAGTTTGCTTGGCGTCCATCCACATCATGGGAAGGGCGGCTCCCAGCATCTTCATGCATTCGTTGAGCAAACCGTTGAACCAATTGAGGCCCAGCTTAAATGACCCCAGCGCGATTATGATTACAATAATACAAGCTGCCCAAAACTCACATTCTGGCGACATAGGTATCAAACGACTACCTCGGCCAAATGTAGAGCTCGGATGACAGGTCCCGCGTGGTCTTGCAAGCGCCCGGAGAGCGGAATTTTCACGTCTTCTACCAGCTGCTCGTGGGTGTCACCGAGGTGCACCAAGTCGAATTCAAGCTTGTGGGGCAGATCTAAGGGTCTGGGAGTTTCGGGTGCCAAAGGGTTGGGGGGCTTGGGGTTTCGGAGTCTGGAAAGTCACAAGGGGGGTGCAAGGTTTATGTGCTGAGGTGCTTTTGAGTTCAGGTTGCGAGGTTTACCCAAACCCCCTCAGCCACGAAGCGGGAGAGACAGAGAGATTCGAAAGTTTTCGTCAACCCAAAACCCCCCCCCCACCCCAACGCCACATCGTCTCGAAGTGGAAGGGGGGGGGGGTGGGGTGGCGCTATTTCCCCCCCTCCCTTCCCCCCCCCCCTTCCCCCCCCCGAAAAAACACAAAGAAGATCAAACCGAGGATCCCGCAGCCTTACATCTTCATCATTCATGTGAGGCCCATAGGGCCCATAGCCACCCTCCCCTGCCCCCCTGGCCCCCCCAAGTCCCCCCCTCCCATCGTCGAAGTGCGCGCCTTTTGTCAAGGAGCAGCGGCGAATCCACAAGCTGCGCCACAGCCCGCAGGACTATGCCGGGGGGCCAAAGCGCCGAGAGGGAAGCTGCGGCTTCGGAGCTTATTGGGGGGAGCGCGCATGCTTTAAGAGTTCGACCCTTCCCCAAGCCCTAAACCAGTTGTGCTATCTTACTATCTAGAACTTAAGCATTGCGGACCTTGAGGGTGTGATTCGGCTTTAGATCTGAGGGGCTGAGGTGTGAGGTTGCTTTGGAGTTTCGTACGGGGAGCTGTGGTTCCAGCTCCCATTACCCCTGCAGTTTGTCTATGTCTCTCTTAGACCCGACATCACCGATGCCCAAGCTTAGATGCGCGAGTCCTTGCAATCTTGAGCACGTATTCCCCAAGAAACCCTCATCCCTGCATCCTTTTTTAAAAGCAAACCTCAACCCTTAAAACCGAAGCTCAGTAGCTGAGTGGGCACACTGTACACTTTTTGGGATACTACAATCTCCTATAGAACTGAAAGTGTACACTTTTTTGGGGCTTATGTACTCAGCAGCTAAGTACCCTAAGTAGCAGGCAGTTGTAAGGATGTCCCACCCCAAAAACCTAAACCCTTAACCCTCAAGCCCCTGAACTTGTTCAGAAGTTTAAAACAGAAGCTGCCCTGGACACTTCCCCGGAACTCCTCGAAGCTTCCCTCGAAACTTCTCCGGACCTGAACCCTCAATATTTTCAACAAGCCCTAAAATCCCTAAACCCTAAATCCTAAACCCTAAAACCCTAAAACCCTAAAGCCCTAAACCCTAAAACCCTCAAGCCCAAAACCCTTATGAAACAAAAATAAGCCCCCCAGCAAGCTCAAGGCCATGCTGCGCGGGGGTGGCATCCTGGAGGTCGGGTCTTTGGGGGCTCTTTTGGGGGTTCAGGGCTTTTGGGGTTTCAGGGTTTTAGGGTTTAGGGTTTAGGGTTTGAGGGTTTTAGGGCTTTAGGGTTTTCGGGCTTTAGGGTTTAGGGTTTAGGGTTTTAGGGTTTAGGGCTTTAGGGTTGAAGGGGGGGGGGTTAGGGTTCTAGGGTTTGAGCGTTTTGGTGCTTATCGGGAAGAGGGGTTTGTAAGGGTATTTAGGGGTTTACCAAAACCCTGAAAAAGCCCAGAACCGAAGGGGTCCTTTTGCTTCTGAGATTGGAACCCCGAAGCCGCAACCCTAAACCCTGAACCCTAAACCCTAAACCTTTGGCCCTAAACCACACATCCGGAGGTCGAGGGGATGGATGATGGTGGCGACTGGCACCGGCACGCGACTCAACGGGGCCAATCGCACAACCACGGCTTCTGTAGGCGTTCTCAAGGCAATTTTGGGTTGAGGGTATTTAGACAGGCTTCCGACTTCTTGTGGTGTTGGTTTGTAGTTGGTGTTTGCTTTGGAGTCTTAAGTTTTTGCAGGGCTTGCTGGGCTTAGGGTTGGAGACTCCTTTAAGGGTGCAGGCCTGATGCGCATGCCCCGACATCCCGAAACGTAAAATGATGGGTGAGGCTTTGTGCGAGCATCGCTGGAAGGTGTTTGGTTTCGGGCTCTGGTGGCATTTAAACCTGATGGCTGTATGTGTGTGTGTGTGCACGTAGATAAAGGTGGGCTCGGTGTTCAATGGACCGCGTCATCGCACGAGGATACTTCTGGCCCATCGAAACAACGAGGGATGCGATGGTTCCACAGCATGAAGGACATCCCTGCAGTTTTCTTCTTTTACAGCCTAAACAAGGAAGTGTCCTAAACCCTGGAGCAATGGACGACCCAGTCCCTACGCATCCCTGCACTCGGCAAGCATCTAGGGCTCCAAGCGGCGCACACGCAACAAGCTTCCCGAAGAACCGAGATCCACAGTGTGAGGGGTTGCAGGGTGTAGGAATGTTTCAAGGTTCAGGGATGTTTAGGGAACACAAGGCTGCTATCTGCATTTGCCGCCGTGGGCGCGGGTGACGCCGGAGCCTCAGCCAGAGGGCCGCACCGAGCATTGCGCCCCCTGGACTCTGAGCAACCCCCCTTCATATGGACACTGAGACCTAAAAAGGCCCAAAAGCCCCAAAACCTTATAACCCTCGAACCCTAGAAGCCCTGACACCTCTATGAATCCCTAGCCCAAAAAAACCCAAATTCCTAAGTGCCAAACCCTGTACCCTAGGCCCGAAGCCCGAACGCCGAACCCTAACCCCCGTGAGCCCAAAGTGCTTTTCACCGTAAACCCTAGCCCCTAAACCCTAAACCTTTAAACCCCAAACCCCAAACCCCAAACCCTAAACCCTAAACCCTAAACCTTAAACCCTAAACCCTAAACCCTAAACCCTAAACCCTAAACCCTAAACCCTGAGGAGCAGCTCGCTGGTCTCCTGGATGTGTTGCACCTCGCCGGGAAAGGGGTTTTGGGGGCTTATAGGGTTTTAGGCACCAGTTTAGGGTCATGAGGTTTAGGGCTTAGAGGTTTCGGGGTTTAGAGGTTTGGGGTTTTCGGGTTTTAGGGGTTTAGGGGTTTAAGCGTTTTAGGGTTTTAGGGTTTTCGGGTTTTAGGGTTGTAGGGTTGTAGGCTTGTAGGGTTCTAGGGTTCTAGGGTTCTAGGGTTCCAGGGGTTTAAGGATTGGGGGTTGAACCTTTCTGCAGGATACAAGACTCAGGTGACATTGGTAGTGCACCATACATTGATGGTGGCATGCGCTTGGAGGTCCTTTCTTTTGCAAGGGCCCTGAACTCTAAATCTGCTCTAAGACACGCTCTGCCCTTGTCGTCTGGATGTTGAGGTCTGAGTTCTGGGCCCTTTGCCGTGCGTAAGATTGAGCAACGTCCCCCCTCCCCTGTAAGTACGGAAGCTCAGGGTGGCGTGAGAAAGGGCAGCGCGGAATCTTGGCATCCGGGCTTCTCCATGCGAGAGCACCCCCTGAAAGCCCAAACCGACGCCCCAAAACCTACGCAGCATGAGGTCTGCGACGCTGCTCTGCGGGGAGGCCGGGGCTTTTGAGGTTCCCTGGCCTTTTGGAAATCAGCGTCCCGAGCTGAGAGGGGCTCCCAGCCGACAGCTGGAGGGTCAGTTGCGCGGATGTTTCCCAATCTCCCTGGTGCGCACACCCTCAGTTACCCAGCTGGACCAAAAGGCGGCTCCCTCCACAACAGGAACCCCCCCCGAGGATGATCCCATAAGTTGGGGCAGCGGCTCGGGTTGTACACGTAGAGATCTCAGTTTCAGGGCAGGTTGGCCGCAAGCGCAGGGCTTCGGAGGATGTTTTGTTGGAGCTTGCCCGGCTCGGGAATGCCAGATTTAGTCTGAGCAGCTGGTGAGTTCATGCAAACAAGGGAACAAAACGCAACAATTCATTTCGGAAACGCTGCAGGCAACGTACTCAGACAGGGCGCAAGCTGGCATACTGAATCATACTGACCTCTGACCTTGTGGCTGAGTCTCATGATTCGCCCCCCTCCCCCCCCCTCAGTGCTGATTTGAAACATAGCATGGTGTCCCTGTCGACATGGTTAGAGAGCTGAGCACCAGCTACGAGCGGCTGTCTGCGAACAGCAAGTATGACAATGGGGTCCAGCGACTCCCTGGCCCAACTCCGCTGCTGCAGATGGATGCGGACAGTTGCACTATGGTGGTGATCTTCCCAAGAAGTCGCCGTGTCGGTGGCACGGTGGATCCTGAGGAGTTGGTTCAGGAACCTATGAAGCAAGCCAGGCGCATCTTCCTGAACCCTGACAACCCCCTGAGTCGGCGTGCCATTCGCCGGCTGCAATACATTGGCGCGGAACCTCACGAACCCATCAGCATGGAGCTTTACCAGCAGGACATCCGCGCCCGGTTTCTGGAGATCCTCGAGGCGAGTGGTGTCCAGGCCAGTCAGTTTGCCAGCCTCGATGAGGACGAGGACTTCGTGAAGCTGTATCTACCACTGAACGGAGAAGCTATCGCGCAGCTGGCCGATAGCCTCAAGTTTGAGATGCCCTTCAAGAAGCTCGGTGTTCTCCAGCAATCTTTGTATGAAAGAAACAACATACATGTACATGTACATACATATATAGTAAAGAAAATCTAATTCTAGAATTAGCAATATCACTATACACTTATATATTTGCTATCCCCACCCCCTTAACCCTTGAAATTTAGGGGGGGGGGGGGTGAGGCCTTGAAATATTTCAGGCGGTTAGCTGGACGCCGAGGCATGATAAACCTGGGGGTGGGTGCAACAGGCTGAAATTTCAACATTCGGGGGGTAAGCGGCTGAAAATAATTTCAGAATCGAATTCTGGACCACAACCGTCAGGGGAAGGCAGAGGATGTCTGCAGACCATTAAAACAGACACACCGAAACAAACAACAACCCACGAAGCACATAAGATCACATAAGTACACATAAATACCACCTCTAGAGATTGTTGGAGGTTCTGGGGCAGTTGCTGCCTGGGCAGGCCGTCGGTACTACGTCCCCAGGGCGTTTTTTTTGCTAGGCGGAGAACGTGACAGACGACAGACTCAAAGAGAGAGAGAGAGAGAGAGAGAGTGAGAGACTCCCACCCATGTATTGAGTACTCCCCGGACCCCTTGGGGAAGCTTTTAGCTGGTTAGCTGTGGAATCCTGAGGTGGCTTTGCGCGCCAACTACATTGGCCTGGGCGCGAAGAGAGTGAGCGCGAGAGCAAAAGCGAGTGAGAGCGAGGGCAAAAACGAGTGAGAGCGAGAGCGAGAGCGAGAGCGAGAAAGTGAGAGTGAGAGTGAGAGTGAGAGTGAGAGTGAGTGAGAGAGAGAGAGAGTGAGAGAGAGAGAGAGAGAGAGAGTGAGAGAGAGAGAGAGAGAGAGAGAAAGAGAGAGAGAGAGAGAGAGAGAGTGAGAGAGAGAGGGTGAGAGCGAGAGCCGGGGACGTGGTACCATCGGGACAGGCCATTGTTCGACCTACCTACCTCCCCTTCAAAACCCCTGGCTGAAATTTCAAAGACCTTGGGGGCCCACCAGGCAACAGCAAAATCCTGAAATTTTTTCATGCTGGCGACAAGGGGGGGGGGGGGGTTACCCCCCCCCCTTAAGGGGGTGGGGATTATTTGCTGTCTTGTGTATACGTAGTATAAATATAAAGTAAAGTATCACAGAATTAGAAATAGAAGTAGAGATAGAAATAGAGAAATAGAAACAGAAATAGAAATACGAATACAAATACAAGCATAAGTAGAAATATAAATCTATGTATACATATAAAACTAAAAATAAACACAAAATTAATTATAAATATAGATATAAATATAAATATAAATACAAATATAAATATAGATATAAGAAGTGTCAATTCTAATATAAGTCTAAAGGATACATATAAATATAAGTATAAGCATAATTATTAGATACAAATTTATAAAATAAATAGGAACGTAATATAAGTATAAACTATAAATAGAAATATGAACATGAATCTAAATATAAGTATAGCTATAAGATAAAATAATAATATATATAATAATTTATATAATATATAATATGATTTAATTTAATATAATATGTTTCTTTACTTTACTTCTAATAATTATGTATAGTGGTTTCTGAATAGACATATTATACACATACGCATGTTATATATAGAAATATAATATATAAGTATATAGATATATCAAATAGATAGATATATAGATAATAAATAGATAGATATATAGAATATAGATAATAGATATATTTAAGATATATAGATATACAGGACTACAGCTATACAGATACTATAGATTACATAGATGTAATAGATCTATAGATCTATAGATTCTCTAGAATCTATAGATCTATAGATCTATAGATCTATAGATCTATAGATCTATAGATCTATAGATCTATAGATCTATAGATATATAGATCTATAGATCTATAGATATATAGATATATAGATATATAGATATATAGATATATAGATATATAGATATATAGATATATAGATATATATATATAGATATGGTACCCCCTCCCCAATGACCTACCCTTTTTCGCCTTGTCTTAAGTCATCCAGCTGCACTGCAAGCAAACTCGGTGTGCAATATAGCGCGTACTAAAGTGAAACTAAAATCCGAATACACGGGCAATTAAAAAACCAAAAACACCAAACCCAAAAGACCAAAAAACCAAAACCAAAAAGGCCAAAAAAACCAAAACCAAAAAACCAAAAAAACCCAAAAAAACCAAAAACACCAATTTTCCGGAACTCTCAGGAATCCCTACGAGGCTTCTCCAAGAGTTCCGGAAAATTGTTTTTTTTGGTTTTTTTGGTTTTGTTTTTTTGGTTTTTTTTTTTGGTTTTGGTATTTTGGTTTTTTGGTTCGCCTTTACGTGGCAATAACTACGCATTTTTAAGTGTGTTTTTGTACTTGCGAATTTGCTTGTGCGTGGCCTTCACTAAGTACTTTTCTAGGAAGATTGTGCATTTTTAAGCTTGCTTCTGCAAATTTCGGACATAGTATATAAGTGGTCTTAATGAAATACCTCAGAAACAACGATTTCATTGTTACTCAAGTAGAATCGATTCTGTTGCTGTTAGTGTTTATTTTGTATTTTGGTTGAGTATGGTCCTGTAAAAAGTAGTCACTTGAGTCAAGTTGGGCGCTATTTCATGAATATGTAAACATAAGATATTTCAGTGGACTCTTCAGATAGTATTTGATTAATACTTTGCCTAGCACACATTCTATTTATGTACAAGGCAGTATTCTTGTGCATGGCCTTTACTAACTATATTTCTACGAAGGTGTATAAGCGGTCTTTATTTAGTACTTGAGAAAGTCTTTTACATCGTTATGTAAGTAGAACCGCTTCTATTTCCATTAGTGTTTATTGCAAATTGTAGTTGGGTATGGTATTTTGAGTAGTGTTCTATTTCCATTTGTTTTTATTTCACATCTTGGTTGGGTATGGTATTTTAAATAGTGTTCATTTGAGTCAGATTGGGCTATTTACTCAAATACTTACTCTAGTAGATAAATCGCATAGAATGATGATCTCAAAACAAGAAATATTTCATGAATATGTAAACATAAGTTATTACAGTGTACTTTTATGTACAAAGCAGTATTCTTGTGCTATGGCCTTTACGAACTACTTTCCTAGGAAGGTATATAAGTGGTCTTTATTTAGTACTTGAGAAGTCTTTTGCATTGTTATTTAAGTAGAATCGCTTCCGTTGCCGTTCGTGTTTATTTCATATTGTAGTTGAGTATGGTATTTTGAATAGTATTCGCTTGAGTCAGATTGGGCTTTTTACTTAATACTCCAGGAGTTAAATTCGCATACAATAATAAGCACAATGTTTCATGAATATGTAAACATAAGGTATTTCAGTGGACTTGTCAGATAGTATTTGATTAGTTCTTTGCCTTGTACAAACACAATTATATATATATATATATATAACATCTAAGTTGCTCAACAAAACATTATTTGCCCGTTAAACGCACAATTTGCCTAGAAAACACCAAAGATTTAAATACCTAAAAACAGCATTGTCCGCTTCAGATTCAAAATATAGATTAATCCAATGCTGTGGCTTATCGGGGCTTGCGAGGTGGGTGTGCCAATAGATGTCCTTCATTTCCCGGTGATTAACTACGCGACTTTTGGGCCTTCGTTATTCTCTTTTTGCAAAAAAGGCCTAAAAAGGGTAGGTCGCTGAGGGGGGGGGGGTAGCGATAGATATATAGATATATAGATACATAGATATATAGATATATAGATATATAGATATATAGATATATAGATATATAGATATGTAGATATGTAGATATATAGATATATATAGATGTATAGATGTGTAGATATCTAGATATGTAGATGTGTAGATATGTAGATATATAGATACATAGATATATAGATATATAGATATATATAGATATATAGATATATAGATATATAGATATATAGATATACAGATATATAGATATATACACACATATAAAAGTATAAATAAGTATACATAACAATAGTTTATATGCTTATGTAGTTTTATATACGCATAGTTTTACGAGCAGGGAGGTTTGTGCAAGTGAAATGCTTTCGAATGGCAACTCTAAGAAGCCCTGGGAGGCGGGTGTAGTCATCCACAGCGCTGCAAGTGAAGCGGCCCCCCGGCCCAAGCTCTCAACCCTGAACCCCCAACAAACAGGGGTACCTTAGGCTCCTGGGACCCTTCAGGAGGCCCACGCGCCCCAGATGCCCAGGACAACGGTCTACGAAGCTGTGGCCGAGCATGGGCCCTTTCTTGGGGGTGAGCCCCTCAAGAACGCCGACGGCCACATGGTAACTGGGTCAAACGCGAGGAGTTTTATGGCCGAACGCTTTCCAGGGCAAAGCTGTAATCTGACCTGTAGGCCTTTAAAGCCCTGAGCCGAAGAATCCGAAACAAAAGCCGCAGGGACCTCACAAGACACCCCTCAAACCCCGAAGCTGCGACTGGATGTCGAAACGCCAGCGAATGCCCTTAGCCCTCCTCCAAGCAGAGGTCGTGGCGCATGCCCCCTTCGACATGCACCGGAAGAACATCTTTCAGGAGTCTAAAGAAAGGAAAGGTATCCATGGGTTTTTCTTGGTATACATTGGTTTTTATTGGTTTTGTATTGGTTTTATGGGTTTTTATTGGTTTTTATTGGTATACGTTGGTATACATTGGTATACATTGGTATACATTGGTATACATTGGTATACATTGGTATACATTGGTATACATTGGTATACATTGGTATCATTGGTATACATTGGTATACAGGTACACAGGTATAAGAAGCCTGGCAGCCCCTGTGCCCCATGACCTTCACCTCAAACCTCGATCAAAAGAACCTCTGAAAACCCACGCCCAAACCCTCAACCCATCTCAACCCATCTAAACCCTAAACCTTTGGCGAGAGGACTTCTCGCAGATGGATGCCATCCAACTGTTGCAGCACTGGTTCTGCCTCTGGGTGCAGCTGGACGAAATGGAGCATCAGGGGGTCATCAAGTGCTCCTTTCCCTGCCCCCGTGCTTCGCAAATGAGGGAGCTGCATGAGACGGGGCTGCACATCAAGAATTGGCTGAACCCATTTTTCGGAGATCTGATGCATCCCCTGCGGGCCTACTTTGGGGAGGAGATCACCTTCTTCTTCAAGTACGGCGCTTACCTGATATACTCATTCTTGCCTCTTGGAGCCGTCGGCTTCTTCTTTACAATCCTGCGAGTTTTCAAAATCATCCCCGACAGCCAGATCGACTACGTGAAGACCGGGCTGGCCTGCGGCATCTCGCTCTGGGCCGCCTGCATCTCACAGATGTTCGGGCGCCACGCCCGGCGCACGGAGCAGCTCTGGAACGCGGCTTCGTCTCTGAGTTTTGGTGCTGTTTTTGACGGGGATTTGCTTGGGGGCTTTGGGGGGGGGTTCCTTTAAAGGGACTTCGGAGGGCTTCTTCACCCGGTTACCTTCAACAGCCACGCTTGCTGAACCCGAGAGGTGAAGGAGCATGCAGCATTTGTGAAGAACAACCCGGATTGGGACAAGCATGGGCGGAACGAGACCTGCACCATCTTCGTCAATGTCGTCACGGTGGGTTTCGTGGCGCTGTACATCGCAGTGGCAACTGTAATTCTGGTCAAGCAGTACAATGCAGCGGAGGATGTGTGCAATAAGACGCCCCACCAGTAGATCCCCCCCCCCCCAGCACAAGGCCCTAAGGTCCCTAAGACCCCCTAAGGCCCGCAAGGCCCTGAGACCCCCTAAGGCCCCCTAAGGCCCCCTAAGACCCTAAGGCCCCAAGGCCCCAAGGCCCTAACGCCCTAACGCCCTAACGCCCTAAACCTACCAGCTTCTAAGCTCAGATGACCCTGGTCCTGCTGCCGTCAGGACACGGTCTTCGCCCAGTTGTCCTCGATCGTGCTCAGCTTGGTCATGAAGGCGTATCAGTAAGGCTTTCAGGTCGTAGGATGTAGGGTTTAGGGTCTTCAGGCTGCAAGGTCAGGGGTTATAGTGGGGGGAGAAGCGTTTCGGGCTTCATTCGATGCTTCGAGAACCCCAAGCCCCAAACTCAAGACACGAAACCAGCGTCTCCAGGATATGCTCTAGAACCCATACACCCTACCCTAAACCCGCACAAGTATCTGCACGGCAATTCCGTGGAGGGCTGCCCCCTAAACCCGCGGCTCCATGAAGGTGGGAAGCCTTTCCTGGACCTACCTGGCCCCAGTCTTGGTGAAGCTGGAGAACCACCGGACACAGGAAGAGATGGAGGACACCCGAAGCCCCCAAGCCCTAAACTCGACACCCTCAAACCCTAAACCCTCCGCTGCTGCAACAGCTGTAAAACAGCCCCCCCTTCCCCCTCCCCAAAACAAAGCAGCAAAAACCCCCCCCCCCCCCCCAAAAAAAAGAAAACACATGAGGAAAACAAGAAAACAAAAGAATGGAATAGCTGAGCACTCCTATGGTTCGCGTGTCTCGCCCCAGAGCAGCGGGACTTTCTTGGGGCGGGAACATGCCAAGCCCCCTTTGTGGAAGATGAGGGTCTAGAGCTTCAGGGTTCAGGGTGCAGGCTTTAGGGTTCAGGGTTTGAGATTTAGGGTCTAGGGGTCCAGGCCACAGGTGGAGACTGCAAAAAAATGGCCGCGCTCGCTTTTGTGGGCGCAGCATGCCAGCTTTTGCGCACAATCCTAAGAGGGCTCAGGGTTACGCCGAGTCTCCGAGCCTCCCCAGACCTAAAACAAGTCTAGGTGTGCAGCCCTAAACCCTAAACCTTACACCCTAAACCCTAAATCCTAAACTCTAAACCTAAACTCTAAACCTAAACTCTAAACCCTAAACCCTAAACCCTAAACCCTGAACCCTGAACCCTGAACCCTGAACCCTAAACCTCAAACCCTAAACCCCAAACCCCAAACCCCAAAGCCTAAACCCTAAACCCTAAACGTGGATACCCATAGAGCCCCTAGCCTTATACTACTGATCGGGTTCACATGCTATTCTGTTAATGTATATAAGCCAATGTAAGCCTTCTGGAAGGTACCGCCTCCTGCAGCTGTCCTCAACCGGAGTTTAGGCCTTGCGATTCGGGGTTTAGAGTGAAAGCTAAGCCCTAAGCCCTAAGCCCTAAGCCCGAAGCCCTAAGCCCTAAGCCCTAAGCCCTAAGCCCCAAGCCCCAAGCCCCAAGCCCTAAGCCCTAAGCCCTAAGCCCTAAACCCTAAACCCTAAACACTAAACTAAACCGCCCTAAGCCCTGAAGCCTAAGGACCCTCAAGCCAGAAAACCCAGGACAAGCTTGCCGTCGTACTGGCTGGTGTGAAGCTCTTCGTTGGCAACTTCCCCTTCTTCTCGCAGCGCCTCGGGGATGTAGGGTTAGGGGT